TGACTATGCCACACTTCATTCCCACTTGAACAACAGGGAAAAATAAATCAAATAGAGCTAATTTGTGAATTACTCCTTTGCAAATGTCTTTGGGTTACTTTTTAATCCACAGGCCCTGCTACTTGATGGTTTAGTTGTCTAAACTTCAGATTAAAAATACCTAGAACAACACACTTGAAACCAAAGCGCCAATAGCTCAGTGTCGCCCTTCCAAGGCACATAAACTGAGTTCTACACAATCTACTATGTCTACGAGGAACTGGAGTGAGGTGGTCATTTTGAAGAGACCTTATAAACTGAGATCCTATTTGCTTAGCATGGACATGTGAGATCCTCTAGGCTTCTCTAGTTGGGCTTCTACTATGTTCAAAGGAGTCTGAATGTACTAAATATGGAAATTCACTCTAACATTCTGGATCATGAAATGAAATGGCATAAATTGGGACACAAATGAATCCAACCTTTGCAATGCCAATGGGAATCACATATGAAGTCCACAGATCAAAAGGTAAAGGAACCTCCCAAATCTGTTCCCAAATATGACTGCCATATCATAAATCATCATAAAACAGGTTTCAGAGGAACAGCCGTGTTAGTCTGTATTCGCAAAAAGAAAAGGAGTACTTGTGGCACCTTAGAGACTAACCAATTTATTTGAGCATGAGCTTTCGTGAGCCACAGCTCACTTCATCAGATGTGTACCGTGGAAACTGCAGCAGACTTTATATACACAGAGAATATGAAACAATACCTCCTCCCACCCCACTGTCCTGCTGGTAATAGCTTATCTAAAGTGATCAACAGGTGGGCCATTTCCAGCACAAATCCAGGTTTTCTCACCCTCCACCCCCCCACACAAATTCACTCTCCTGCTGGTGCTAGCCCATCCAAAGTGACAACTCTTTACATAATCAAGTCGGGCTATTTCCTGCATAGATCCAGGTTTTCTCACTTCCCCCCCACCCCCATACACACACAAACTCACTCTCCTGCTGGTAATAGCTCATCTAAACTGACCACTCTCCAAGTTTAAATCCAAGTTAAACCAGAATATCTGGGGGGGTGGGGGGGGGTAGGAAAAAACAAGAGGAAACAGGCTACCTTGCATAATGACTTAGCCACTCCCAGTCTCTATTTAAGCCTAAATTAATAGTATCCAATTTGCAAATGAATTCCAATTCAGCAGTTTCTCGCTGGAGTCTGGATTTGAAGTTTTTTTTGTTTTAAGATAGCGACCTTCATGTCTGTGATTGCGTGACCAGAGAGATTGAAGTGTTCTCCGACTGGTTTATGAATGTTATAATTCTTGACATCTGATTTGTGTCCATTTATTCTTTTACGTAGAGACTGTCCAGTTTGACCAATGTACATGGCAGAGGGGCATTGCTGGCACATGATGGCATATATCACATTGGTGGATGTGCAGGTGAACGAGCCTCTGATAGTGTGGCTGATGTTATTAGGCCCTGTGATGGTGTCCCCTGAATAGATATGTGGGCACAATTGGCAACGGGCTTTGTTGCAAGGATAAGTTCCTGGGTTAGTGGTTCTGTTGTGTGGTATGTGGTTGTTGGTGAGTATTTGCTTCAGGTTGCGGGGCTGTCTGTAGGCAAGGACTGGCCTGTCTCCCAAGACTTGTGAGAGTGTTGGGTCATCCTTTAGGATAGGTTGTAGATCCTTAATAATGCGTTGGAGGGGTTTTAGTTGGGGGCTGAAGGTGACCGCTAGTGGCGTTCTGTTATTTTCTTTGTTAGGCCTGTCCTGTAGTAGGTAACTTCTGGGAACTCTTCTGGCTCTATCAATCTGTTTCTTTACTTCTGCAGGTGGGTATTGTAGTTGTAAGAAAGCTTGACAGAGATCTTGTAGGTGTTTGTCTCTGTCTGAGGGGTTGGAGCAAATGCGGTTGTATCGCAGAGCTTGGCTGTAGACGATGGATCGTGTGGTGTGGTCAGGGTGAAAGCTGGAGGCATGCAGGTAGGAATAGCGGTCAGTAGGTTTCCGGTATAGGGTGGTGTTTATGTGGCCATTGTTTATTAGCACTGTAGTGTCCAGGAAGTGGATCTCTTGTGTGGACTGGACCAGGCTGAGGTTGGTGGTGGGATGGAAATTGTTGAAATCATGGTGGAATTCCTCAAGGGCTTCTTTTCCATGGGTCCAGATGATGAAGATGTCATCAATATAGCGCAAGTAGAGTAGGGGCTTTAGGGGACGAGAGCTGAGGAAGCGTTGTTCTAAATCAGCCATAAAAATGTTGGCATACTGTGGGGCCATGCGGGTACCCATAGCAGTGCCGCTGATCTGAAGGTATACATTGTCCCCAAATGTGACTCTGACATCATAATCAAAAAGGCTGACAAAGGAGGTGCTGTTGTCATCATGAATAGGTCGGAATATGAACAAGAGGCTGCTAGGCAGCTCTCCAACACCACTTTCTACAAGCCATTACCCTATGATCCCACTGAGAGTTACCAAAAGCAACTACAGCATTTGCTCAAGAAACTTCCTGAAAAAGCACAAGATCAAATCCGCACAGACACACCCCTGGAACCCCGACCTGGGATATTCTATCTACTACCCAAGATCCATAAACCTGGAAATCCTGGGCGCCCCATCATCTCAGGCATTGGCACCCTGACAGCAGGATTGTCTGGCTATGTAGACTCCCTCCTCAGGCCCTACGCTACCAGCACTCCCAGCTACCTTCGAGACACCACTGACTTCCTGAGGAAACTTCAATCCATCGGTGATCTTCCTGATAACACCATCCTGGCTACTATGGATGTAGAAGCCCTCTACACCAACATTCCACACAAAGATGGACTACAGGCCGTCAGGAACACTATCCCCGATAATGTCACGGCTAACCTGGTGGCTGAACTTTGTGACTTTGTCCTTACCCAAAACTATTTCACATTTGGGGACAATGTATACCTTCAGATCAGAGGCACTGCTATGGGTACCCGCATGGCCCCACAGTATGCCAACATTTTTATGGCTGATTTAGAACAACGCTTCCTCAGCTCTCGTCCCCTAAAGCCCCTACTCTACTTGCGCTATATTGATGACATCTTCATCATCTGGACCCATGGAAAAGAAGCCCTTGAGGAATTCCACCATGATTTCAACAATTTCCATCCCACCACCAACCTCAGCCTGGTCCAGTCCACACAAGAGATCCACTTCCTGGACACTACAGTGCTAACAAACAATGGCCACATAAACACCACCCTATACCGGAAACCTACTGACCGCTATTCCTACCTACATGCCTCCAGCTTTCACCCTGACCACACCACACGATCCATCGTCTACAGCCAAGCTCTGCGATACAACCGCATTTGCTCCAACCCCTCAGACAGAGACAAACACCTACAAGATCTCTGTCAAGCTTTCTTACAACTACAATACCCACCTGCAGAAGTAAAGAAACAGATTGATAGAGCCAGAAGAGTTCCCAGAAGTTACCTACTACAGGACAGGCCTAACAAAGAAAATAACAGAACGCCACTAGCGGTCACCTTCAGCCCCCAACTAAAACCCCTCCAACGCATTATTAAGGATCTACAACCTATCCTAAAGGATGACCCAACACTCTCACAAGTCTTGGGAGACAGGCCAGTCCTTGCCTACAGACAGCCCCGCAACCTGAAGCAAATACTCACCAACAACCACATACCACACAACAGAACCACTAACCCAGGAACTTATCCTTGCAACAAAGCCCGTTGCCAATTGTGCCCACATATCTATTCAGGGGACACCATCACAGGGCCTAATAACATCAGCCACACTATCAGAGGCTCGTTCACCTGCACATCCACCAATGTGATATATGCCATCATGTGCCAGCAATGCCCCTCTGCCATGTACATTGGTCAAACTGGACAGTCTCTACGTAAAAGAATAAATGGACACAAATCAGATGTCAAGAATTATAACATTCATAAACCAGTCGGAGAACACTTCAATCTCTCTGGTCACGCAATCACAGACATGAAGGTCGCTATCTTAAAACAAAAAAAACTTCAAATCCAGACTCCAGCGAGAAACTGCTGAATTGGAATTCATTTGCAAATTGGATACTATTAATTTAGGCTTAAATAGAGACTGGGAGTGGCTAAGTCATTATGCAAGGTAGCCTGTTTCCTCTTGTTTTTTCCTACCCCCCCCAGATATTCTGGTTTAACTTGGATTTAAACTTGGAGAGTGGTCAGTTTAGATGAGCTATTACCAGCAGGAGAGTGAGTTTGTGTGTGTATGGGGGTGGGGGGGAAGTGAGAAAACCTGGATCTATGCAGGAAATAGCCCGACTTGATTATGTAAAGAGTTGTCACTTTGGATGGGCTAGCACCAGCAGGAGAGTGAATTTGTGTGGGGGGGTGGAGGGTGAGAAAACCTGGATTTGTGCTGGAAATGGCCCACCTGTTGATCACTTTAGATAAGCTATTACCAGCAGGACAGTGGGGTGGGAGGAGGTATTGTTTCATATTCTCTGTGTATATAAAGTCTGCTGCAGTTTCCACGGTACACATCTGATGAAGTGAGCTGTGGCTCACGAAAGCTCATGTTCAAATAAATTGGTTAGTCTCTAAGGTGCCACAAGTACTCCTTTTCTTTCATCATAAAACACTTGTTTGAAAGGATATCACCAGTAAGAATGGCCATATAAACAATAATGGTGGTGAGCAAGTTCTTGCTAGAAGCTTTCAGAGCTGTGACTTTGCCTTTGTTCAGGTTTGCTTTAATGCATCTACATGAACAAAATATGCTAGCAGAACCCTGCAAACATGCACCATATGCTTTTTGATCTGGTGCAGTCCGTCCCATCATGAACAAACTCTACACCGGACAAGTCACAATAAAATTGGTCTTCAGAGCACAGTTTAAGTTTATTTTTAAAATTTCACTGTCAAACTATGAAAACAGAGCCATCCATCTTACAGAACTACCCATCAATATTAGCTTAAATAAATTTACGTCTAGTGGACCAGCAAACTTACCCAAGAAGGAGGACAGTGCATGTGTTGCCTGTTCAGTGATGACAGAATAATTCCTCCACTGTATACACTAAAAGGAATTAAACAAACCTATTAGAGTTTACTGATTTCTCTACATACTTAGTCCCTAATTCAGGACAGCTCTTAAACACATGTACAAGTCCGACTGAGGTCAATGGAATTTAAGTACATGCTTAACGTTAAGCAGGTACTTGAGTGCTAACCTGAATAGGGATGAATTTAAGCACATGCTTAATTGCTTTCCTGAAATGGGGCCTTAAACACTTGCTAACATCTCTACTACTTACTAAATGCAAAATCTCCACTAATGTAATATTAGGATTGCACAGTTAAAATCACTAAAGAGTGAAAAATGCAAAAGCTAAGCATTTTAAAAGCAATGTTAACTGTGCCACATTTCCACATCCCACATGGACCACAGCTTAGCAGAGAGACCATCTCCTTCCCGTTCACACTCATGTAATGTCCCTCTGGCAACTGCAGCAATTGCTAACCAGAAAAAATATTTTTCAATTATGTGGCCAATTTATATCAAACTTCTCCCAGGTCTCTTTCCCTTTGATATAACTAAATATAACATGATATAACATGCCTTGCATAGAGTTTGTAACTCTGATAATTTCTGAGTTGAAAGTAAAAAAGTTGCAATTTTGTCCCGTAATTCAAAATGCCAAAATCTATTTCCTTTGTTTCCAAAAACGTGAAGTTTCAATCCCAAACGGATACAATCCTACTTTTGTTTGTATAGTACCTAGCACGAGGCCCCATTATTGTTTGGCCCTCAGGCACTACCATAATAAACATGATTATTATTAATATTTTCCCAAAAGTTATAAGCCATTTTATATCTGACAAAAACCAAAGTGACTACTTGTATCCAGCAAACATTTACATACGCATTTTGCAAGCAGTGCAAAATTCCTACTGTGCTCAATCCCACATGAACTGATTTTGTTATTTTCCACCCAATTCTTTTTCTGACTTAACAACTCCTTCCTTGAGGAAGACTACTTTTAAAAGATCAGCAGTGGAAAGACAGTTTCCTGAATGTTCTTAAAGTGGGAATTTTTCTTTCAGAGACACATAACCCAAACATGACTGAAAGAATTTACATGAAACTTATTTTAAGTAAAAAGAAAAGGAGTACTTGTGGCACCAAAGAGACGAACAAATTTATTTGAGCATAAGCTTTCGTGAGCTACAGCTCACACGCATCCGATGAAGTGAGCTGTAGCTCACGAAAGCTTATGCTCAAATAAATGTGTTAGTCTCTAAGGTGCCACAAGTACTCCTTTTCTTTTTGCGAATCCAGACTAACATGGCTGCTACTCTGAAACCTCTTATTTTAAGTAATCACCGTCGAACATATACCAAGCATGGAAACTTTCAGTCCAGAATGAGAATTCTGGGGAAAGATATGAGCAAAAGAAAACATGGGATGATAATGAAAACCTTTTGCAACCTTAACTGTTGCTACCGGAGAAACCACAGCCTCACACTATATCCTGTTTCAGAGTAACAGCCGTGTTAGTCTGTATTCGCAAAAAGAAAAGGAGTACTTGTGGCACCTTAGAGACTAACCAATTTATTTGAGCATGAGCTTTCGTGACCTACAGCTCACTTCATCGGATGCATACCGTGGAAACTGCAGCAGACTTTATATACACACAGAGATCATGAAACAATACCTCCCCCCACCCCACTGTCCTGCTGGTAATAGCTTATCTAAAGTGATCATCAAGTTGGGCCATTTCCAGCACAAATCCAGGTTTTCTCACCCTCCAGCCCCCCACACACAAACTCACTCTCCTGCTGGCAATAGCCTATGCTATTATTACCAGCTATTATTAATATTATGCTGCTATTACCAGCAGGAGAGTGAGTTTGTGTGTGGGGGAGGGGGGGGCTGGAGGGTGAGAAAACCTGGATTTGTGCTGGAAATGGCCCAACTTGATGATTACTTTAGATAAGCTATTACCAGCAGGACAGTGGGGTGGGAGGAGGTATTGTTTCATGATCTCTGTGTGTATATAAAGTCTGCTGCAGTTTCCACGGTATGCATCCGATGAAGTGAGCTGTAGGTCACGAAAGCTCATGCTCAAATAAATTGGTTAGTCTCTAAGGTGCCACAAGTACTCCTTTTCTTTTTACACTATATCCTGGTGAGTTTCTGGAGACTGTTATTTACCAGCTGCTCTTCTCATCTGACAAGCTGATGAAAGAGCAAGACATGCACCACAGAAATTCATGGTAGTGAGATTCAATAGAGCATGCATTACTGTACATCCCATCTATAAAACATATCTGCACAGCTTGGCTAATGTGCCATGATTTGTGTGAACATATCACAATGCACATGTCAACAATGTCCACGAATAAATTGCTTTGTAAGATTGTAGTAAAGAGCATGTCAATGAGAGCACAGAGTATGTTAACAAGAAAGGAACTGCTCTACAATGTCAGTACCCTCACATTTACATTATTTGGTCACAGCTGCATAATGAAGAGCAGGGGCTGATTAAAAGCCACAGAGCACACGTACACATTGTGAAATACCAGTTTATCCCTTTTCTATTCTATGAAATATCTAACAAAGACCTTGATCATCAGAATTCCAGTGTGATGTACACTGAGTACAGTGAGCATGTTTCTGTTCTCACATGGGGCTACTTTTTTCCAAGAGCTGCGCTCATTTCAGCTTTGCATTTCACCTTTAACACAGTTCATCTTAAGGACTAACAAACACTGTTAAGTGTCTTTGGAAAAGAAACTTTTTGTGGCATGGAGGTACACAAAATCTTCAAAGCAAAACTTTATGGGGTTGGTTTTCCTCCTCTGAACTCACAAATGAGTTCTGTGAATAATATTAGTCTGATGCAGTTTCAAATGAGTTGCTCAAACCCTTCCCCTGACTAAATAGGTCTTAAAAAAATCAGTGTTTTTATTCTAACAAAAACCCTTTGTTAAATTACTGCAAGTGCAAAACTCCACAAAAAGTTATTATAAAACTACCTGTGCACCAGGTGAGCCAAATATGGCTCCTTCTTCTGCACACAATTACAGTAGATTCCATCTCCCCATCCATAAAAGACTGTCTGTGGAACTTATACCCAGGCATACATTGGATTTTTGGGATGTATTTCACTATACATTGGAGTATCTTCTTGTTGCCTGTGTGTAACTGTTAGAAAAAGCACTGGGAATCAGAAATCCTAGGTTACCTGTTGTATGACCATGAGCAAGTCACTTCCCTCAGAGTAAAAAAGTGGATAACATAATCTATCTAGAGTACCTGGCAGAACTGTGAAGCACTTTGAGATGTGAGGTACGATATAAAAGGACAAAGTATTATTACTAATAAAATACACTGAACCCTATCCGTTTTTTTAATAAAAAACATAGCTCTGGCCCAATGGCATTAAAAAATCAACATTTTAATTTTTAGAGACTTCCATATGCTTCAGAGATTTCTCTGTCTCTGAGACAATGGTTATTCCCAGTCTTGGAGATGATAGCACAGAAAAGATAGTGAGAAACACTGCACTGATCACTTGCATAGACTGTTGTTCAGCCGTGACAAGATTCTGTCATGGTCATGGTTTATATATTGATCAGATGGGGCAGATGTGTTTGTTTTTGAGGAATTTCAACATAGTTCATAAAAAGCTCTATAATGGGACAGCTTCTTTGCATCTACTGCTCAGTTTCAGCATTCGGACACTACTTTAAATCTTGCAATGTGCATTAATTATATGGCTATGTCTACACTACAGACCTTACAAGTAAGGTCTTCCACGTAGCCACTCTCCTGCCGGCATAATTAAACCACGCCAATGAGCGGTGTTAGCTATGTTGGTAGGAGAGTATCTCCTGCCAACATAGCACTGTCTACACTAACACTGTTGTTGAGGGTGTGTTTTTTCACACCCTTGACTCATTTGCCAACAAAAGTGCTAGTGTAGACAAAGCCTATTTCTTCCTATTTAAAGCCCTGCAGTTTATGATTAACATAATAATATTTCCCTCATAATATCACCTGTTTGCACTCTTATTCTGCCTCAACTAATTGGAATACTGTCACCTGAGGCAATTTCTTTTTTAAATCCCCAACTGAAAATCTTCCTCTTCTCTTTTCCCTAAAACATTCTGTGATGCTGTGTAAGAAGGATGCTACATAAATATTGGACTGTATATGATCCTACATCCGGCAACTCTCACAGCTCCTTAGTGCCATACTGGCATCTAATGGCAGTGCCGAAAATTGCAAATTCACATCACTTAAAGGTACCAGGAAAGGAGGGATTTATGGTAGTGATATATTTCCATCATTTTATTTGAACAACAGCTTACAGATGAAGGGTCATAATAAACCCAACCAGAGATTACAGTATAAAATATTCACCATTGGTGGCCTTCTGTGGTAAGAATTGGAAACTTCATGAATTTAGCGAGTAGTGTGTTAGCAAAGAGCACTGCATGGCCAGTTTCATCAAGGCATCATTTGCCAACTAATGCGTCTCAGTTCTCCGTTTTACAAAACCAAAAAATCCCCACAACCCAAAAAATTAACAGGTTTGCTCCTATTAAGTCTCCCGAAGCTGTTTTTTTGCCTCCAAAAATACCAGAGGCCTTTGGCCACAGCTGTATGTTCAATAACTAAACTGTGGGTGGATGTTTGCCGCCTCCCCTTTTGGAGTCTCAAGTTTTTATTCACCAAGCGCGGCCCTGGTGAAAAGCGTGCGACGTGCTTACTGCTGCGCAGCCGGCAACCGGCCAAAGCGCCAGCGCTGGGCTGGGCTGGGCTGGGCTGGAGGCCGGGGCCGAGCCCCCGAGCCCCGTCCGCCGCCACCCGCCTCTTCAGCGCGGAGCGTCAGGCCCCGAGGGCAGCGCCCCGCCCTGAGGGACCCCTGCGGCCGGCTCCAAGCAGCGGGGCGGCCTCCGGACTCGGGGGCCGCGGGGACCTGCCGTCCCTGGGGCCGCGCCCGGCCTCGCTGGGCCTCGGGGCCCCGGCACCGCACAGAGTCGGGCCGCTCCCTGCTCTGCCCCCGGGTCCAGCCCGGTCCCTCTGCCCGGCGGGGCCTGGGCTCCGCGTCCCGGGCTCCGCGTCCCGCTGCCGGCCCATGGCGGAGCGCGGCGTGGGGGGAGCCTGCGGAGCCACTCACCTGACAACGCGCCGGAAGCCGGTAGCCGCGGCCGGGCTCTGGCGTGCGGCGCCCAAATCCTTCCCCGCCGCCCGGCGGGCGGTTCCCGGGACACGCGCCGCAGCGCCGCCTATCGGCCGCGGCCGCCCCTCCGAGAAGGGTGCGAAACGTGCCTGGCTGAAGAGCGCCCCCTGGCGGTGTGTGCGCGGCCCCGCCCTCGTGCCCGCGCGTGCCCGGCCCGAAAGCCCGGGGTTGCCCGAGGGATGGGGCATCCTCAGCGGCCTGCTCCCCAGCTCAGCTCCCACCTCCTCTGGCGCCTGCAAGCCGGCCTGGCTGGCGCTGGGCCCTCAGCCCGTCGCGGCCCACACGCGGCGAAGGGTAAAGGAGGGCGCCCAGTGTCCCCACTGCCTTGGCTTTGGGTGCCCTCGCATGTCCCCTCTCCTGGGCTCTTCTCGGTACGGGCGGATCCTTTCAGTCTGCCTCCTGCGGAGCCTGTCCCGTCGCCACCGCCCGCCCGCCCGCCTGCCTCAGTCTTACTGGGAAGCCCCCCAGCAGTGAGTCGCAGAGCCCAGGGCACCTGACTCGGGTTGGAAGGACCCTGCCGCTGGGCAGCGTGTGTGTTCCCATGGGGCTAGAATCCGGGCGCTGGAGCCTGCGGAGGATGGAGGGTCCCAGAGCCCAGGCTCCAGCCCATCGGGAGCTCTGTATCGCTGTTTTCCCCTCTTTCTGCTCTGTCTTTTTTCAGTTGGGGTAACTACTCGGCATTCTGAATGAAAATATAACATCGCTTTACATAATGGTTTTAGTCCTGTTTTCTCTCCTGTTATTTTGATTGCCTAACGTTTTCCTTGCTTTTTGACTTCTGCTATGTATTGAACATAAGTTTTCAGAACTATCCACGGTGACGTCCAGGTCTTTTCCCTGAGTGCTTACATTTCCTTTAGATCCCAAAAACGTGTATACATAGGTTAAATTATTTCTTACTGTCAGGCTCAACGGGTAGTGATCAATGGCTCCATGTCTAGTGGGCAGCCGGTATCAAGTGGAGTGCCCCAAGGGTCGGTCCTGGGGCCGGTTTTGTTCAATATCTTCATAAATGATCTGGAGGATGGTGTGGATTGCACTCTCAGCAAATTTGCGGATGATACTAAACTGGGAGGAGTGGTAGATACGCTGGAGGGGAGGGATAGGATATAGAGGGACCTAGACAAATTGGAGGATTGGGCCAAAAGAAATCTGATGAGGTTCAATAAGGATAAGTGCAGGGTCCTGCACTTAGGACGGAAGAACCCAATGCACAGCTACAGACTAGGGACCGAATGGCTAGGCAGCAGTTCTGCGGAAAAGGACCTAGGGGTGACAGTGGACGAGAAGCTGGATATGAGTCAGCAGTGTGCCCTTGTTGCCAAGAAGGCCAATGGCATTTTGGGATGTATAAGTAGGGGCATAGCGAGCAGATCGAGGGACGTGATCGTTCCCCTCTATTCGACATTGGTGAGGCCTCATCTGGAGTACTGTGTCCAGTTTTGGGCCCCACACTTCAAGAAGGATGTGGATAAATTGGAGAGAGTCCAGCGAAGGGCAACAAAAATGATTAGGGGTCTGGAACACATGAGTTATGAGGAGAGGCTGAGGGAGCTGGGATTGTTTAGCCTGCAGAAGAGAAGAATGAGGGGGGATTTGATAGCTGCTTTCAACTACCTGAAAGGGGGTTCCAAAGAGGATGGCTCTAGACTGTTCTCAATGGTAGCAGATGACAGAACGAGGAGTAATGGTCTCAAGTTGCAGTGGGGGAGGTTTAGATTGGATATTAGGAAAAACTTTTTCACTAAGAGGGTGGTGAAACACTGGAATGCGTTACCTAGGGAGGTGGTAGAATCTCCTTCCTTAGAGGTTTTTAAGGTCAGGCTTGACAAAGCCCTGGCTGGGATGATTTAACTGGGATTTGGTCCTGCTTTGAGCAGGGGGTTGGACTAGATGACCTTCTGGGGTCCCTTCCAACCCTTATATTCTATGATTCTATGATTCTATGAACCTTTCATTTGCCAGTGTATCTTCTCTGCCATCATACTGCCCAGTCAGCTAGTTTTGTTCCTCACAGTCTTGCCTCGCCTTGACTAAAATTAAATAATCTTGTGTCATTAACAGATATTGTCACCTCCCTGTCACCCCTTATTCCAGATTGCTTACATATTAAACCACTCCAGTTCTAATACAGATCTTAGGGCAACTCACTGTTAACCTTTTGCCTTTAGTTCAAACTTCTTGTTTTCTGTCTCCTCGCTGTCAATATCTAATGAGATAAAACTTCACCTCTCATCTCATGGCTACTTAGTTTTCTTAAGAGCCTCTTGTAAGAGACTTTGCGTAATTAGCACAGGAAAAATATCAAATTCTGTTATGAGATGTAAATACAGAAGTATGGCTTCCCAAAGTCGCTAATCAACAGAACTGTTTTCATGCCAAAAAGAAAGGGGAGCAGCAGCAGTTCTCAGGTGATGCTCTGGCACACCGATGATTCATGGAATTCCTAGTCTGCAGAATGTTTGTAAAATGAGCAATAAGTGATTGGGGTGTATTTGACATGATATGGCGCCACAGAAAGATCTGTCTCATATCTTATAAAGTGCCCCACAAAATGACTCAGTTGGAGATCTGCTGTTCGACAGAATCTGTTGCTACTGGCACAGGAAAGAAACCTTCCAAGCAGCATGTAAGGAGAGCTGTTTTTCCTCTCCCTGAAAAGAAAATGGAGATGGTTCTTAACTGTAGATGGGCTCTTGATACTGCTATTCAACCCTAATATCCCCAGAAAGAGGGACTAGGACTAGACTGTCATTCCAAATGCTAAGCAGAGGAACCCACTGGTTCACTAGGGCACAACACCATTCAATACAAAAAAGCTGCACAAACAGGGAGACCTATTTGTACCCTTCTTTTGTCCCTAATCAAATTGGCTTTTTGTTACTCAGAACACACACCCACTCTTTGCAGCCACATACTCCAGGTGGATTCAGCAGGCTTACAATTTGTGAGGGTCTCTCCAAGTAAGAAAAGGGCTCCAAACTGGCAAAGGAGCCATGACTTGTCCAAATTCCAGAGAAGAAGATTGGGCAGTGAGTTACCTCTCCTACTGCTGAATTGGTTTAGTAATTGTTTAGCTGCCTCTCTTTCTTGTGCTGCTGAAGGAGGTTGCTGGATTATGATAGAACATATCTTTTTTATACTGCACAGGAATAACAGATTCCTTTATTATGTGGGCAGCGTGAGATTTCAGAGTCCTTAACTATTCATATCCTTGATTTTAAGTAGTTGGCACTTAAATTAGGTGATAGGTAACTATGCTGTTGTCATTTAGCAATCTTAACTGGCTTTGGAAAGCATTTTTATTGGGTTTCAGCCAGAACCCTAATGTTTAAATTGTGAACATAAATCCTACATTTACATGTGAAATGTGGAGTTTGAACATATTTTGTGCATGAAGTTTAGGATCCTGTGTTGAATCATTTGGCCGTAACATTTTTGCATTGTATTAATATGATTATTTTATTTTTGACTGTGTCCAAAAGCTTCCCAGGCCCTTCACAGAACACAGAGAAAGGCAGAGCACCTGGCCAGAAGTGTTTCCTATCTAATTTTATGCATTCCACCTTTTCTTTGTTAAATACAGTGAAATACTTAGAGTACAATGCAATACATGAACAAATCTGTGTTTTATATGCTTTATACAGATTTGAGGCCAGACCTGCATTCAGTTATACACAAGTGTGTGTAACTGAGATGTCAATCTCACCGTCTATGTTGAGGCAGATATTTAGGATGACTCCTCCTACTTTTGCTCATTTCCTTGAAATCTTTGTGTTTCTGAACCCATTGAGTAATAAAGGGAGTATTTAGCGAAGTATGACTTAGAGGCTGCTGAACTTCCTTGTTAGTCCTGAATTCCAGGCAGGCGCACCTGTCTGTCAGCAAAGACCTGGGTGAGGCTTTAGGCAGCTGCCAAGATAGCCAGACCCTGAAGGACTTTAGAGAGGAATCTGTTTTATTTGGGTATACGGAGAGAAAATGGCATATCGAGACTTAGTAAGAGGCTGGCATGAAGGAATTCTGGCTATGGATAAGGGGGACTGGGACTCTGCCTTGAAAATCTTCTCCACTATCGAAGAGCCATCCTCCAGGATCTATTTCAACATAGGCTGTGTGCATCTCTTAACAGGGAACCCTGAGGGAGCCTTGCAGGTGAGCAAAAGAAAACAAAGTAAAGCAAGTCAAAAATGTAGGAAGGGAATCTTGTGTTTTGTGTTTACTTTTATCTGGGAAAGAGAAAAGATGGTTAACTCTGAATGGAATGTGGAAATCTGCAATTATATTATTTCCTAGGAGATTTTCTAGTTATTATTATTTGTATTACCACAGCGCAGATAGAATGAGGAAAAGAAAATTATACTTTGCTACTGAACAAACCTTACAGTACATATTTCAGAGTAATTTATGGTTGCCTGATATCAGACAAATCTAATTCTGTTCATGCTCATGACTCTGAGAACAAGCGAGTTTCTCTCACATTCTGTTTCTCCCCCTTCCTCAATCAGTGAAGACTGTGTCTTAGATTTATATGTGATGGCACATCTAAGTAAACTCCTGGTGGTTTTTCCAATGTGGCTGTGAATTGATAGTGGCTCATTAATGGTAAACATATGTAATTGTCACAGTGGGTTACAACTGAGAGGCCAATCTAGTGGTATATTCTATAATTAGATATCACCAAGCCAGTAACAAATCGGCACTCCTGAATTACTATATTAGTCTCACCATGCAAAGTAATTCACATTGGAAAACATAATCCCAACTATACATATAAAATGATGGGGTCTAAATTAGCTGTTACAACTCAAGAAACAGATCTTGGAGTCATTGTGGATAGTTCTCTGAAAACATCCACTCACTGTACAGCGGCAGTCAAAAAAGTGAACAGAATGTTGAGAATCATTAGGAAAAGGTTAGATAATAAGACAGAATATATCATATTGCCTCTATATTAATCCATGGTACACCCACATCTTGAATATTGTGTGCAGATGTGGTCGCCCCATCTCAAAAAAGATCTATTGGAATTGGAAAAGGTTCAGAAAAGGGCAACAAAAATTATTAGGGCTATGGAACAGCTTCCATATGAGGAGAGATGAATAAGACTGGTATTTTCCGCTTGGAAAAGAGACAACTAAGGGGGGATATGATAGAGGTCTATAAAATCAGATGTGGAGAAAGTAAATAAGGAAGTGTTATTTACTCCTCCTCATAACACAAGAACTACGGGTCACCAAATGAAATTAATAGGCAACAGGTTTAAAACAGACAAAAGGAAGTATTTTTCACACAATACACAGTCAACCTGTTTCAGAGTAACATCCGATGAAGTGAGCTGTAGCTCACGAAAGCTCATGCTCAAATAAATTGGTTAGTCAACCTGTGGAACTCTTTGCTGGAGGATGTTGTGAAGGCCAAGACTATAACAGGGTTCAAAAAAGAACTAGATAAATTCATGGAGGATAGGTCCATCAATGGCTATTAGCCAGTATGGGCAGGGATGGTGTCCCTTGCAGAGGATAGAACAGAGGTGGGCAAACTACAGCCCACAGGCTACATCCGGCCCATGAGACTGTCCTTGCCTGGCCCTTGAGCTCCTAGCCAGGGAGGCTAGCCCCCGGCCCCTCCCCTGCCATCCCCCTGCCCCCACAGCCTTAGCTTGCCCTGCGGACAGCATGGCTGGCTCCATCCAGGCAGCAGGGCCGCGAGCTCCTGCTGCTCTGAGCGGCATGGTAAGGGGATGGCGGCAGCGGTGGGGGATGGGGGTTGGATAAGGGGTAGGGGGTCCTGAGGGGCAGTCAGGGGACAAGGGGATTGGGGATTGGGGGCGGTTGGATGGGGCAGAGGTTCTGGGTGGGGGGGCGGACAGGGGACGGAGAACAGGAGGGGTTGGATAAGGCATGGCAGTCCAGGGAGGGCCTGTCAGGGGGCAGAGGTGTGGCTAGCAGTCAGGGGGGCAGTTAGGGAACAGGGAGCAGGGGGGTTGGATGGGGGTGGGATCCTGGGGGTGAAGGATTGGGGTGGGGCATCTTGGGAGCGGGCAGTCAGGGGACAAGGAGCAGGGGGGGTTGGATGGGTTGGATGTTCTGAGGGGGGCAGTCAGGGATGAGAAGTGGGAGGGGGTGAATAGGGGGTGGGGGCCAGGCTGTTTGTGGGACACAGCCTTCCCTACCTGGCTTTCCATACACTTTTGCACCCCAATGTGGCCCTCGGGCCAAAAAGTGTGCCCACCCCTGGGCTAGAAGCTGGGAATGGGTGACAGGGGATGGATCACTTGATGATTCCCTGTTCTCTTCATTCCCTCTGGGGCACCTGGCATTGGCCACTGTCAGAAGACAGGACACTGGGCTATATGGACCTTTGGTGTGACCCAGTATGGCCATTCTTATGTTCACGGAACTCCAGACAAACTTAGCACCCAGACAAACTGGTCTTAATGATGAAAGGCTATTACCAGAGCTGTCCTTACCCATACGCAAACTACACAGCTGCATAGGGCATCAGGAAATTTGGGGAACCAAATTGCCCCAAATTTCCTGGTGCCCTACACAGCTGTGTGCTGCTCCAGCAGCCAGCCTGATCCCCTGGCCGGCTGATCCCGCCAGGAAAGCTGCCCCTGTTCTCACCCCACGCCCACTCCACCCCTTCCCCCATAGCCCCCACCCCTACTCCACCCATGCCCTGCCTCTTCCCACCCCTGCTCTGCCCCCGCCCCAACCCCACTCCGCCCCTTCCCCCGAGCTACATCCTGGGGGACTGCAGCAGGGGTCTGGCACTTTGCGCCACTGGTGAGTGCTGGGGGGCGGTTCCCTCCTGCTCCCAAGTACCAAGGCTGGGAGCCAGAGGAGCAGAGCAGAGCAGGCTGGGGCCAGATCACTCCACTTCCCGCTGCCCTGTGAGTGCAGGGTCGGGCCTGCCCTGCAATCACTGGGCGGCAGGAAGTGGAGCAACCCAGCCCCAACCCGCTCTGCTCCACCCTCTCATGCTGGGGGGCAGTTTCCCACCAGACCCCAAGCCCGTGCCTGCTCCCCACAGATTCTGAGCACAGCCCCCCTGCTCCACACAGGCCTGGAGCTTGGCTGTAGACAATGGATCGTGTGGTGTGGTCTGGATGAAAGCTGGAGGCATGTAGGTAAGTATAGCGGTCAGTAGGTTTCCAGTATAGGGTGGTGTTTATGTGACCATTGCTTATTTGCACTGTAGTGTCCAGGAAGTGGATCTCTCGTGTGGACTGGTCCAGGCTGAGGTTGATGGTGGGGTGGAAATTGTTGAAATCCTCGGGGAATTCCTCGAGGGCATCTTTCCCAGGGTTCCAGATGATGATGATGATGTCATCAATGTAGCGCAAGTAGAGAAGGGGCGTTGTGGGACAAGAGCTGAGGAAGCGTTTTTCTAAGTCATCCGTAAAAATGTTAGCATACTGTGGGGCCATGCGTGTACCCATTAACTAACAGTAATGTTAGTTGGTCGTTTACGCTCTCCAATGGAATAATTTCACAAATATTGCATTTTTACAAGAATTCTCTCTAGGTCTCCTCACCACAGTCGAGTTTATTTAGTTCTAAATGTCTAACAGTGTAAGCATATGCAGTGCTGGAATGGGTAGTGATGGGTTTAGAAGGAGCCCTGCAGCAGCATAGGTCCCCAGAAGAATTCTGCCGGACTCAGCAAAACTTCTCCAGCTGAAGTGGGTCTCTGTCACTGTTTGGAGGTGGATAGTGTTCTTTCCTTGTGCCAGCTTAGTTTACCTGGTCAGTGCAAGGGAAAAAGAAAAAAGCATGGAGAGTCTAGACTAGTACAGTGTGTTTGCATTTCTCTGTGTGATTGTCATGTACCCCTGCAACGGTACAGTTGCAGTGCGCCCTTGTTGAGTCAGCAGTGTGCCCTTGTTGCCAAGAAGGCCAATGGCATTTTGGGATGTATAAGTAGGGGCATAGCGAGCAGATCGAGGGACGTGATCGTTCCCCTCTATTCGACATTGGTGAGGCCTCATCTGGAGTACTGTGTCCAGTTTTGGGCCCCACACTACAAGAAGGATGTGGATAAATTGGAGAGAGTCCAGCGAAGGGCAACAAAAATAATTAGGGGTCTGGAACACATGAGTTATGAGGAGAGGCTGAGGGAGCTGGGATTGTTTAGCCTGCAGAAGAGAAGAATGAGGGGGGATTTGATAGCTGCTTTCAACTACCTGAAAGGGGGTTCCAAAGAGGATGGCTCTAGACTGTTCTCAATGGTAGCAGATGACAGAACGAGGAGTAATGGTCTCAAGTTGCAGTGGGGGAGGTTTAGATTGGATATTAGGAAAAACTTTTTCACTAAGAGGGTGGTGAAACACTGGAATGCGTTACCTAGGGAGGTGGTAGAATCTCCTTCCTTAGAGGTTTTTAAGGTCAGGCTTGACAAAGCCCTGGCTGGGATGATTTAACTGGGATTTGGTCCTGCTTCGAGCAGGGGGTTGGACTAGATGACCTTCTGGGGTCCCTTCCAACCCTTATATTCTATGATTCTATGCACAGACCCTGTCCCTGGGCTAGCAGAGAAGGAAGGGCCACATCTGTTTGTATTGATTGCAAGAGAACACACAATGCGGTAGAGTGTTGTATCAACCAGGCAAGGTACTAACAAGCTTCAACAGGACTTTATTTTCAAAGTGGAAACCTCTTTACCAAGCTGCTGCTGCACCCTCGGTAGCTTTCTCCCAGCCTCTCAACTCCTCCCCCCTCCTTCCTGTTTCCTGTCCTTTCAGACTCCCAACTTCCAGTGCTCCCAAGTCTAAGAATTATAAGCAACATTTAAACACTGCAGTAGAGACAACTGAAAGGAAGGGGTGGGCTCACTCCCGCTCTATATAAAAGGTCAGTTGCTGAAAAAGGCAGAGCGGAAGGAGGTGTGTAGGGGGAGAACAGTGCCTGCGGTGCTCTTTGAGGCTGAAGATGTATTTTACTCTAATGAAGGGAGAAGCTTGGCTGGAAGGGCTCGGTGATCCCTGGGAAGGGTGGAGGGACAGAGCCATGAAGTCCTGCAGACCAGAGAAGGAACTGATGGGCTTTGTGTGGGTCAAGTGAATGTCTGATATTTTCTTCCTGTAGGTTAATACAGCAATGTGGAAAAACTGAGGCACAGCAGCGTACCCCATGGAGAGCCATAGTGACCCTCTTACAGCCCCACATGGGTGTGCAAATTCAGGGGAGGGAGAGGGCCAAGGAGCCTTCCTGTCCTTATATCCCTGTGTAGGGTGAGGGCACAGTCTGGCCTGGGTCTGTGCTTTTCACCAGCCTTGACACGGCTCCCTTTTCAAATGCAGACAGTTCCAGTATATAGAAAATCCAGGATTTCAGGCCTTGTCCGTTCCCATCTGCGTTTCGCCTATTTATAATCATGGTAGAGGAGATGCACCCCTTACTCTCCAAAAGCACGTACTAACTAAAATAACCTTCCTGGATGGCGTTCTGCTTTGACACCCACTGCCATGAACTAAGTTTACCACAGCTATGCAATGGTTCCCTTTATTCATCTGGGAAGTAGGCCCATCTGTGGGTTTAAGATAAGCAGGAATACTGACTTTTATGTGCATGGTGGGGAATCTTTCCATTTTCTCCTTCGCATCCCCCACTCTCCACCCCATCACCACCTGCTTTCAATGATCCCCTCTCAAACCAAGTGGTACCCAAAATGATTCTTCCCACAGCTCATCTGTGTCTGCTCGAAGTGGCCAAGAACAGGCTATACAAGGTGCTTCCAGGTGTAAACAGCCAATTATGCTTCAGGCAAATAGGCCTTCAGATTACAGGAGCCTGGGGCTGCTTTCCACAATCCTGATTCCCAACAGGGTTATTTTAGGAACATTCCATCACTTTCTCCTGGGACTGTTCTAATCTGCAACAAATCATTTTGATGGTTCACATGCATTCTCCCCCACACAGGAACTGCTCCTGGGTTTCAGCCACCATGCCCTTCCATAGCTCTAACAAATGCCTTGCAATCACATCTGTCAGACATTAGCTCTGTTATGTGGTTTAGCTAACTCGTGTCATGTCTGTATTTTTCTTCTTAGGCCTTTGATAAAACAGTTACCAAGGACAACCGTCTAGCTGTTGGCTTCTTTCAAAGAGGGTTTGTCCATCTGCAGTTAGCAATGTAAGTGTAATGCTTGTCCATTTCACTCTTTGCTTCTCTTTCTTAAATGATATTTCACCCTTCTGAAGTGCATTTTGTCCAGTGTTCTCAATGCACTTTGCAAATATCAGTTAAGCCTCAGAAGATCTTTGTCAGTTAGGTCAGTATAATCTCCATGTTACAGTTGGGGAGGCTGAGGTTTAGAGAAGGGAAGTTACTTCCCCAAGGCGTCACAGTGAATCAGTGGCATAGCAAGTTACAGAACGCAGACTCTGATTACCATACTGCATTATATGTGTACTCAGACACCCCAAAAGCAAAAGTTAATAAACTTAAAGACAATGTAACTCGTAGCCATAGCACAGACACCCTCTCTAAAACTCTTGTATCTGAGTCCATCCAAAATCTTCCAGTCACTGAGCAAAGACCAGAAACATATCAGACAATTGATCTATCAAGTCTGGTATCCCACCTCCCCAGGAAAGACCGTTTACTAGGGCTGTCGATTAATTGCAGTTAACTCACACGATTAACTGAAAAAAATTAATTGCAATTTAAAACATTAATTGGAATTTTAATCGCACTATTAAGCAATAGAATACCAATTGAAATGTATTAAATATTTTGGATGTTTTCTACATTTTCATATATATTGTATTCTGTGTTGCAATTGAAATCAAAGGGTATATTATTTTTATTACAAATATTTGTACTGTAAAATGATAAACAAAAGAAATAGTATTTTTCAATTCACCTCATACAAGTACTGTAATGCAATCTCTTTATCATGAAAGTGTAACTTACAAATATAGATTATTTTGTTACATAACTGCACTCAAAAACAAAACAATGCAAAACTTTAGAGCCTACAAGTCCACTCAGTCCTACTTCTTGTTCAGCCAATAGCTAAGACAAACAAGTTTATTCACATTTACGGGAGATAATGCTGCCCACTTCTTATTTACAATGTCACCACAAAGTGAGAACAGGCGTTCTCATGGGACTTTTGTAGTCAGCATTGCAAGGTATTTAAGTGCCAGATATGCTAAACATTTGTATGCCCCTTCATGCTTCGGCCACCATTCCAGAGGACAGGCTTTCATGCTAATGATGCTCATTAAAAAAATAATGCGTTAATTAAATTTGTGACTGAACTCCTTGGGGGAGAACTGTATGTCCCCGGCTCTATTTTACCTGCATTCTGCCATATATTTCATGTTATAGCAGTCTCAGATGATGACCCAGCATATGTTGTTCATTTTAAGAAAACTTTCACTGCAGATTTGACAAAATGCAGAGAAGGTACCAATGTGAGATTTGTAAAGATAGCTACAGCACTTGACCCAAGGTTTAAGAATCTGAAGTGCCTTCCAAAATCTGAGAGGGACGACATGTGGAGCATGCTTTCAGAAGTCTTAAAAGAGCAACACTCCATTGTGGAAACTACAGAACCTGAACAACCAAAAAAGAAAATCAACCTTCTGATGGTGGCATCTGACTCAGATAAGAAAATGAACATGCGTTGGTTTTCATGGCTTTGGATCGTTATTGAGCAGAACCCATCATCAGCATGGGCGCATGTCCCCTGGAATGGTGGTTGAAGCATGAAGGGACATATGAATCTTCACTTCTCAGAGTTCAAGCAGCAGAGAGTTACTGTTCCTTCTTGTCAGGGATTTTTATTCTCTTCCCCCAGAGTTCAAGCTGATGGGATGAGTTCACCTGCAGGTCTACTCTCCCTGAGTATGAGGGGAAGCAATCAACAAAGTCTTTAATCTTTAATGTTTCTGTGAGGCTGGCAGACCAGGTCATGCTACAATGTATTCAGGTCAATTCACTTTTGTATTATAGATCAGTGGTGCAAGTAGAAATCATTTATTTCCAGTATTGCACTCATGGGAGGGACAGAAGAGAGGGCACGTGACTTCCCCATGTGACCCTCCATGTGACTCCTCCCCGGCCCCAGCCCGGGGCCCCCATGCTCTCCCCATCCCCGCCGACACCCCCTTTACTTGTCTAAAGTTTTACAACTGCAGATGCAGTGGTAAAATGATGCTTTGGGCCCCTGGTGCCATCTGTACTTGCAGGTGTCACTGAGGATCCAGCAGCACCCCAAATTGAAAAAGGAAGGACAATCACCCCACTTTCCCTTAACATACTATCAGTGCCTCCCTTATGTCCGAACTAAGCTCCTGCCAGCTTGCCTTTATCTAAGTGTTGCTCTCTGCCAGGCACTAGGAAAGCAAAGATGCTGCGCCATCTGGGTTTGATGGAAAGGAGGCATAGAACTGTGTGTGCCATGTGCAGCGTGATAGAACGTCTGCCCACAGTGTTTTATTATTTTCCTCAGCATGACATACAGGAGAGGCAATCAAAATCAGCCTGGCAGAACGTGCATGAGAATTGTCTCTGGTCAGATAAGCAATTGATCAAAGTCACATTCTCTGATCTCTTGGGGCCAAATCCTGTTCCTATTGAGATCAAAAGGAGTTTTACTATTGAGTTCAATGGGAGCAGGCTTTGACATTTGGAGAGGAAAGAACAAAACCACTCAAGCAAGGGCTATGTTGCTTATACTACAGGTATCAAAGGCTGCTGACTCATGTGAGAAAGTCAGCAGAAATCTTATCTTTGTCCATTGCAAGGGAGAAATCAGCAATCAGTGAGGCTAGAACAGTCTCTCTACGACATCTAACTCATAAGTCCATCTGCAAAGGATCAAGGAAATATGAAGGCTCCAGATTACCTTAAAGTCCTCAGTCAGTTGCTCCCCTCAGTATATGTTCATAGTCCAGAGGCTGGAGCAGAAAAGAGGCAAAATGGACCTTTTAGCTTCTGCCAAGTGCCAAGTAAAGGGAAATCTGGTCTCACTGTGAAAGATGGTGTTTGGAGTCACATGGGCAAGTTAAAAGAAAAGGAGTACTTGTGGAACCTTAGAGACTAACCAATTTATTTGAGCATGAGCTTTCGTGAGCTACAGCTCACTTCATCGGATGCATACTGTGGAAACTGCAGAAGACATTATATACACACAGAGACCATGAAACAATACCTCCTCCCGCCCCACTGTAGAACACTTCAATCTCTCTGGTCACGCAATCACAGACATGAAGGTCGCTATCTTTCAACAAAAAAAACTTCAAATCCAGACTCCAGCGAGAAACTGCTGAATTGGAATTCATTTGCAAATTGGATACTATTAATTTAGGCTTAAATAGAGACTGGGAGTGGCTAAGTCATTATGCAAGGTAGCCTATTTCCCCTTGTTTTTTCCTACCCCGCCCCCCCCCCCCCAGACGTTCTGGTTAAACTTGGATTTAAACTTGGAGAGTGGTCAGTTTGGATGAGCTATTGGCAGCAGGAGAGTGAGTTTGTGTGTGTGTGTATGTTCCCCGGGGGGGGGGGGGTGAGAGAGCCTGGATTTGTGCTGGAAATGGCCCCCCTTGATTATCATGCACATTGTAGGGAGAGTGGTCACTTTGGATGGGCTATTACCAGCAGGAGAGTGAGTTTGTGTGTGGGGGGGCGGAGGGTGAGAAAACCTGGATTTGTGCTGGAAATGGCCCAACTTGATGATCACTTTAGATAAGCTATTACCAGCAGGACAGTGGGGTGGAAGGAGGTATTGTTTCATGGTCTCTGTGTGTATATAATGTCTTCTGCAGTTTCCACGGTATGCATCCGATGAAGTGAGCAGTAGCTCACGAAAGCTCAAGCTCAAATAAATTGGTTAGTCTCTAAGGTTCCACAAGTACTCCTTTTCTTTTTGTGAATACAGACTAACACTGCTGTTACTCTGAAACATGGGCAAGTTACATGTCCATCACCCCCACCCATATACTAGTTAGAATGTTCACAGGAAAAGTCCATTAAGTGTAGACAGGCGTTTTCCAGGGTCCATTGTGAGCTAAGTGTTCCTTAATGGGCCATTCAGCTTGACTTGTCCCTTCATGTGTTGGCTAAATACCTTGTGGGCGTTACCACAGGAGCAAACATGTAGGAAACATAGCTAATATTCATAACTTCAGAAACCAAGATGAATATACATGCATAGAAATAGCATAATCATAAGTACCAGCTATTTCATGTACATGACTATTCCCAAAAGTTATTCTGAAAAATCACACCACGTACCTGAGACCCTATGTGCCAGCACCATGCCCCACTGGAGTTTTGTTATCCGTTATGTAACAACAGAGATGGAGCCAGTGACATGACTCCATTTAGCCTAAAATGGCAAGGTTAATTTTTAGCTGTTCAGGTGTGACTGAGCCTTTAGTCAGTGAGGGCATACTGGCTGGCACGCATTCAGGTTCATAGAATTATAGAATCATAGAATATTAGGGTTGGAAGAGATCTCAGGAGGTCATCTAGACCAATCCCCTGCTCAAAGCAGGACTGACACAAACTAGGGGGGAGGGATAGCTCAGTGGTTTGAGCATTGGCTTGCTAAATGAAGGGTTGTGAGTTCAATCCTTGAGGGGGCCATTTAGGGATCTAGGCCAAAAATTTAGGATTTGTCCTGATTTGAGCAGAGGGTTGGACTAGATGACCTCCTGAGGTCCCTATGATTCTAAATCATCTCAGCCAGGGCTTTGTCAAGCCAGGCCTTAAAAATCTCTAAGGATAGAGATTTCACCACCTCCCTAGGTAACCCGTTCCAATGCTTCACCACCCTCCGAGTTAAAACCTTTTTCTTAATATCCAACTTAGACCTCCCCCACTGCAACTTGAGACCATTGCTCCTTGTTCTGTCATCTGCTACCACTGAGAACAGCCGAGCTCCATTCTCTTTGGAACCCCCCTTCAGGTAGTTGAAGGCTGCCATCAAATGGGCTTCAGTGTTCCTTTGCAGATAACTTTGTAATGTTCATAAACCTGGTATATGCTGAGGTGGTTTAAAGCATAACACAGGTTTTTAGGTTTGCAAATCTGTTAACCTCTGCCTCTTTGAGATTTTATTATTAATTATTATTATTATTTTGCTGGTCATAATGTGGGAGGGTATCCTCTCCGCCGTCTGCTCATGAGGTTATGTATGTGTCTTGTAGCACTCTTCTGAACACCAGTTGGAAGGGATTTTTTTTTCAGTAAGTGTGGACTGATTCTTTTCTCTCAGAAGGCATGTAATTTTTTCAGGTTCACACTGATTAACACAGAAAACAATTGGGGCTGTTAAGCTTTATTCAGATTCCATAGAAAATTAAGTTCAGCTATATTTTTCAGTACAGTGTTGAAATGGGTGTTTGTATATACAAATATCAACATGCTTAACTACTCACTTCCCCCAAAATACGTAGTATTTCAGTCTGTTTATATGCAATATGGGAGTTGGGTGAGGAACCATTTCAGCATATGTGTGATTTATTAGAAGACAAATTTTAAGTAGAACTGTATCCTAAACTGCATTATGATATTGTACCCAAATATTGCATTTCAATGGGAGATTCAACTTCTTTTATAGGAGCAGAACAGACTCCTGAAACTCTTACCACAAAAGTGGTCCATAGACACGCAAATAGTCCCTTTGTTTTCAATAAAAAGAAAAGGAGTACTTGTGGCACCTTAGAGACTAACCAATTTATTTATTTAATTGGTTAGTCTCTAAGGTGCCAGAAGTACTCCTTTTCTTTTTGCGAATACGGACTAACACGGCTGCTACTCTGAAACCTGTCATTGTTTTCAATGGGATTGATCGAATGATTAGGGGTTTACAGGATTAGGTTCCAAGTTTGTAAATTGTTCTAGATGAAACTGACAATGCCTGAGCTGTCAGATCAGAAGGAGCTTTATTCAAATATAGGTGGGAAGATGTGTGATGAGGAACATATTTTTAGCAAGTTCTTGGCAGATTCCTGAGGCAGCTGGTTTAAGGTTGTCAGTGTCATTTTGGCATTTTGGGATGTATATGTAGGGGCATTGCCAGCAGATCGAGGGACATGATCGTTCCCCTCTATTCGACATTGGTGACGCCTCATCTGGAGTACTGTGTCCAGTTTTGGGCCCCACACTACAAGAAGGATGTGGAAAAATTGGAAAGAGTCCAGCAGAGGGCAACAAAAATGATTAGGGGACTGGAACACATGACTTCTGAGGAAAGGCTGAGGGAACTGGGTTTGTTTAGTCTGCGGAAGAGAAGAATGAGGTGGGATTTGATAGCTGCTTTCAACTACCTGAAAGGGGGTTCCAAAGAGGATGGATCTAGACTGTTCTCAATGGTAGCAGATGACAGAACAAGGAGTAATGGTCTCAAGTTGCAGTGGGGGAGGTTTCGGTTGGATATTAGGAAAACCTTTTTCACTAGGAGGGTGGTGAAACACTGGAATGCGTTACCTAGGGAGGTGGTGGAATCTCCTTCCTTAGAAGTTTTTAAGGTCAGGCTTGAGAAAGCCCTGGGTGGGATGATTTAGTTGGGGATTGGTTCTGCTTTGAGCAGGGGGTTGGACTAGATGACCTCCTGAGGTCCCTTCCAACCCTGATATTCTATGATTCTATGATTATAATCCTCACTTATAGTTCTCTCACCCACAAAACTGGAAAATGAGGCATTTGTCTTCTTTGTGTTGCTGCTCCAGTTCCAGTTAGCAAAATGCATGTTAGACTAGTTTGGCTGCAAAGAAGAATTCTGTGTACACTCTGGACAACACCTGATTCCCATCAGGCTGCAGAACTGGGCTGACATCAGAATCCAAACATCCTCTGGTCAGTGCAAGCAGAGGCATTCCTCTAATGATTTGGACTTGATGTGATGCAGTATGAATGTTATGGATAATTCAGACCAATGGGGAGAAACAGAATAAAAAACACTCTTTAAACACCTTCCGTGCCCCCCCCCCACACACTCCTCTTGAGGACTCCTGACCAATTTAACAGCACAATACATATGCTGTTAAAGCCGTATAAAGAATGAATGCCCTCCCTAGCCCAGTTCTGCTCCTTTAAGGAGCAGAGCACAGCCCCTGAAAGACTTTTGGGAAACTGGCAGTTTATTACATCACTGACACCACTTGGAGTTACAAACTGTGACTTACCTGTGCATATATTTTAACTGTTTTAACCTCAATAACTCTCATTTCCTTTTCTTAGCTAATAAACCTATAGTTAGTTTACTATAGAATTGGGTGCCAGCCTTGTCTTTGGTGTAAGATCTGGAGTACCAGCTGATCTGGGGTGACTGGTCTCTTGGGACTGGGAGAAACCTGATGTGGTGTGCTTTGGAGTTTAAAGAACCTTTTATCACAAAGTTCAGCTTGCTTGGGTGGCAATATAGACTGGAAAGTCTGAGAGGACTGTCTGTGATTCCATGGTGAGCCTGGTAAAGTGATCCAGGAGTTCACATTTGCTATTGGCTTGGGGAAATGTAATTATAGACCACACCACCAGTTTGGGGTGTCTGCTCTTGTTTTCTAACAGTTTGCCCTGAGGTAGGCACTCACAGTCATGAGCCACTCCAGACAGCATTACAGTTTCACAATGGCTCCTTTGTGGGTCTTCTTGGTGGGCAGGACCTAACACCTTCTGTAGGAAGCCAGTATTTCTACATTAATTAATGCTCCTTTCCATTTGATGACTTACACAGTTACAGAGGATTACAATGCAAACACTTCATATAATCTTATATACTCTTACGGGGTACAGATGTTATAAGTAAGATTAATACATGCAGCATCCTACAAGCCTTCATAAAGTCTAAACAATAAACACGTTCTTATAAATCTAAGTCATATTTTAACAATACTAACACACAGGTGAGTTAGACTGTTTTCCAGCTGTGCATCTGTCAGTGTTCAGTGAGGCCTGGGGCCTTGGCATGAGCTGGCACCTGGGCTCCTAGCAACACAGACCTCACTCCCCTTCCCCCCGTCCCTGTTATGATTTTAGTTGTCCCCATAAGGTGACCTTTGTGTCTCTGTGGCTGCTCCCCTCTGTTGGGGGAGGGTGGCCATTGCCATTCCTGTTGGTCAAAATGGCTGAGCCAAATTCTGCTCTGAACAACACTGGGGTAAATTCAGAGTAGAACTGATTGGAGGAACGTCAGTGGAATCATATTCTGTTAGAATGTACCGTTCCGTTGAGAAGTTCATTTAGGAAGAAGAAAGGGAGAGAAAGTTTAGACAATGTCAAAACAAAATGTTTCAATTCTTCATTTTGAAAAGACTATTCATTCTGATTTTTTAAAATTCTGTATAGAAATGAAATGTTTTCAGCAATTTGAAATGAAAAAAAATTCCTTTGCAGAGAACTTCACATTTTTCAAATTTGGAATGAAGCCAAATTTAGAACTCTGGAATTTGTTCTCCAAGCAGATCTTCCATCCTCTGCACAGCTCTAATTCAGAGCAATTCCATTTGTAATCAGTGGAGTTCCTCTGCATTTATACATACGTTGTTCAAAAAAGATTGATTCTCAGGGTTTGTCTACACAGCAGAGACAAACCCACAGCTGGCCGGGGCTTGGGCTGTGGGGCTGTTCCATTGCTGTATGGACTTCCGGGCTTGGCCTGCAGCCTGAGCTCTGGGACCCTCCCACCTCACAGGGCCCTAGAGCCCAGGCTCCAGCCCTAATCCATAAGTCTACACTACGATTAAACAGCCTCTTGCTTGAGCCCTGAGAGTATGGGTCAGCTGGCACAGGCCAGCCGCAGGGTGTTCTCAGTCCCTTCCCCTTTAGCTGGAAATTGTTGACCAGTATCAGCATTACCCTTCAGCACTTTCTTTTTCTCTGAAATTTCTGCAAGGACACTAGTTAGGATAAAATTGAAAGGGATCCCAATTCCCATAATTGGAGCATAATGTGAATAGTTTCTAGAGTTAGCAAGGAACTGTTAGTCTTTCCACTTTCTCCCATCTCCTCAGTATCATGACTGCATTTTGGATGTCAAAAGTTAACAGACTCAGACAGTGGGATGAGAGCAGATCATCCTGGAGGAAAGGGAAACTACAGTCTACATTTAGGGATTCCATATGTTTCTCCAGTGAAGCTTCCTCTAACCCAGGCTGCTGGGAAGAGAAGAATCCTCTTTGCTAGTCTGGTTCCTGAGCTTGATACTTTTTTCTGCAAATTTGGGGATTCAGTTCTCATTTTCATCTTTATCCTTGTGCACTGCAGGTATGAAGAAGCTCTGTATGACTGCAGCATGGCCCTCACTCACCTAAGAAATAACCCTTTCATTGACTACAAACAACTGGGACTAAGGCACATGCTCTGTGCCTGGGAGGTGAGTGTGTGGGTGGGTGTTAGGGGGCTTATTCCTTCACCCACTTACTTCCCTGGTCCTTCTCGCATGAACAGAGAGCAACAATACCCGAAGTCCAAAGGTGCAAACAATTCGATGTTTATTGGGGTGAACTTCCAGCAAGCATGATTCCAGTTTCCTTCCTTAGTATCCTCCTTCCCAGCTCTGACACCACAAAGCCTTACACCTGTGTCCCTGTTCCCATTCCTGCCCTTAGCCAAATATGATTCCAACTTCCTTACTCCCATTCCCTGTTCCCATTTCCCCCTTTAGCAAAACATGATTCCAATTTTCTTACCCCCATTCCCTGTTCCCATCTCCCCCTTTAGCAAAACATGATTCCAATTTTCTTACCCCCATTCCCTGTTCCCATCTCACACACCCACATGCCCACCCCCACCCACCCCCAGTCACTTCCTCATTGACTACAGATTATATAGTAAAACTTGAGTTCTGCTTAGCTATACCTTAACCAATCATTTTCCTGAAATTTAACTAACCAATCCTAACATATTGTAACATGAAAAGGAGTACTTGTGGCACCTTAGAGACTAACCAATTTATTTGAGCATGAGCTTTCGTGAGCCACAGCTCACTTCATCAGATGTGTACCGTGGAAACTGCAGCAGACTTTATATACACACAGAGAATATGAAACAATACCTCCTCCCACCCCACTGTCCTGCTGGTAATAGCTTATCTAAAGTGATCAACAGGTGGGCCATTTCCAGCACAAATCCAGGTTTTCTCACCCTCCACCCCCCACACAAATTCACTCTCCTGCTGGTGCTAGCCCATCCAAAGTGACAACTCTTTACATAATCAAGTCGGGCTATTTCCTGCATAGACTTCTGGATCTATGCAGGAAATAGCCCGACTTGATTATGTAAAGAGTTGTCACTTTGGATGGGCTAGCACCAGCAGGAGAGTGAATTTGTGTGGGGGGTGGAGGGTGAGAAAACCTGGATTTGTGCTGGAAATGGCCCACCTGTTGATCACTTTAGATAAGCTATTACCAGCAGGACAGTGGGGTGGGAGGAGGTATTGTTTCATATTCTCTGTGTGTATATAAAGTCTGCTGCAGTTTCCACGGTACACATCTGATGAAGTGAGCTGTGGCTCACGAAAGCTCATGCTCAAATAAATTGGTTAGTCTCTAAGGTGCCACAAGTACTCCTTTTCTTTTTGCGAATACAGACTAACACGGCTGTTCCTCTGAAACCTGTCATATTGTAACATGATTATGTAACCAATTATATCCCACCACCTCAATTAGTTTACACCCAGCAAAATTAATTATACAGCAGACAGGAACAATCACAGAACCAGACAGAGATTATACAGACAAACAACAGCAAAGTGGGAACTATAATGACAAAACAATACAGAAGTGAGGATTTCACATCCCAGCTATTGATAAGTGAGTTCTTGCCAGACAGGATGCTATCAAACTAAGTTTCCTTTTACATTTTCTAGGCACTTCCCTTTCTCTGGAGGTGATAGGAATACAATCCTGTCCTGATAGTGCCTGACAGCCCAATAGCACCTTATTTCAATGTGACTAGTTTGGAATGTGAGGATGTGACTGTTCGCTTCCCAGCTTATGGCTGCCTCTGCTGCTTAGCCAAAGGCCTGAGCTTAAGCACAGGGCCACAAACTGTCACAGTAAGAGAAGGCCCTTACACTGGCAGACAGTGGTTTTGATTCTTTCTTTTATACCTCTATCACTAGCCAAGTGATAAGAATACACCTAAATTCTTAGAGTATAGGCCTTTACAGACAGGCCTGAATATCTATATCCTAACAGTGGGTAGGAGATATGTCTTTACTTATCGGCAATGGAAAGCCAACTGGATGCTTTCCAAGCTGTGTGCATCATAATTTCTGTGTTTGACAGTAAAACCCTGATGTCCAGATCTACATGAGGATATCAGTGTACTACCAGTCCAACTTGCACAATATTAGCACTGCGCTGGAGCTTACCTGCTAGCCTGGGAAAACTGGGGGAAAGTGGTCTAATTCCAAAATTCAAACAGTATTTTTATATTGAGAGAGTGAGTAGCTGAAAAGAAGTGTGTACAGAACATGTGAGTGGAGATGAGACCACCCAGCTTTCTCTCTCTAGTTCTGCTGAGGTTGTTGAGGTGCAGTTAATCCAGTTAAGGAGTAGAGAGTGGTTCCTGAGAGGCATGTGTTTTTCCTTAAATTTCATCCCAGTAGAATCCATATCAGTGTTGCAATGAGCTAAAGATGCCATCTTTGACCAAACTGCAGTCTCTGTAGAGATCCCTTGAGGCCAATGCCTGTGTTGTGCATAAATTTTGAGAATGGAAGAATAAGCAAAAACCACATATCCATATTCCTGTACACAGAAATGTCTCATTATCTGCTGCTTATCACGGGTCCACCTGTTATGGATTCACAGGGCTGGTCTGTGCCCCAACCTGTAACCCATCCCTTGGGAGTGACCCTTTTAGTGGGCCAGGCCTCAAGGAACCACACAGTTCCACAGGGCAGGCCGTGGTCTGTCAGACTCCAAGACTGGGCCTTTGGGCACCAGTGGTCCCTGTCTCTTTCCGTGCCTATCTGCAGCAAATCCAGCCAAGCCAGATGCCTATGGGAGGCTGGTAGGGTTGCCAACCCACCAGGCAGAGGTGAAAGTAAACCGGTCCAGTACAGTATGACATACCAGGAAGAGCCGGTACACAGCCGACCATACCGGCAGGGGGCAGCTTCCCCAGGCAGACAGTTTTAAAGAGCCCTGGGCTCCCAGCAGAGCCCTGTGGCTCCCGGCTGCTGCCGCAGCTACCGCTACCATGGGGCTCTGGCGGTGATTTAAACAGCCCAGGGCTCCCGGCCACTGCTACCGAAGCCAGAGCCCCGGGCCCTTTAAATTGCCGCCAGAGCCCTGGGGCTCCTGGCCGCCGCTGCAGCTACCATTACCATGGGGCTCCGGTGGTGATTTAAAGGGCCCGAGGCTCCCAGACGCAGCTACTGACGCCGGAGCTCTAGCCCTTTAAATCGCAGCCGGAGCCCTGGGGTAGCGGCAGCGATTTAAAGGGCCCAGGGATTTAAAGGCCTCGCCCCTTCCACCCAAGGGACACCCCCCCCCCCCCCCGCCTCCTCAGGATCCCTTAAGTTACTTTCACCCCTGCCTCCAGGGTTGTCCTGCAGTCTCCAGGAATGAAAGATTAATCTTTAATTAAAGATTATGTCGTGTGATGAGACCTCCAGGAATACATCCAGCCAAACTTGACACCCCTAAAGGCTGGTGCTGTGCCCAGGCAGGGCACAAGGCTCACAGCGAGTATTGCAACCGCGCAGGCAGCCTTCTCAAAACAAGGTGACAATTGATTAATCGCCTGGCCACAGAGTCTGGGAGTTCTCAGGTTGGCACCGGAAAGTAATAGTCCGTCCTGGCCACGCCAATGCAGTGAAAGTGGTTTTCAACTCCAGTACTGGCTCTGGCTCTTTGTCTTCATTCCAGATGAGAGCTGCTGAGTCCTTCCACAGGGCAGCCCTTATTCCAGCCACCCGACACCTTTTTGCCTTTGTTCTCCAGCTGAGTTCACGTGTTCTGCCTGGGAGGGGGGTGGGCAGGAGTTCCTACTATTAGGTGTCAACTGTTCAGTCATTGGGATGGGGCAAGAGGTGGGGATGGGGGTCCCATTGTCTCTTCACATCCTCTGTTGACCTGGATTGGTTTAAACCTGTTCTTTAATGACGCAGGACAGCAAAGTGACACACATACCTCATATCTCCTGAGGTGTTCCAGAAGTGTGTTAACCCTTTTGCACCCACAGGGTAGCAATGCAAAGTATAGAAGGAAACTGAGGCACACATAAATTCCTAAAAATAGGTCAGAAAATTCCCACTTCTTCACACATCCCATGGGCCTAACTGGAAGACATGGCCCTAAGAATGCAAACTGTGAACAAATCCCAAGTTGTACTTAACAAGGCCTGGTCTGCAATTGGTAATGTTATTTGGCACATTCTTTTAAACGCCCAGTGTTCTGTCCAATAATTATAAATGTAAACACAGAAGAAATTACTGCTGCACAATATAAAAGAAAGACAATTTACACAACTAATAATCTTAATGTCTGTGTATGTTCTTTACTCAGTGTATATAACTTGTATATTGGGGATTCTATCCCATGTGGCAGATGTAATGGGTTGTTGTGACTTCCCTAGCTCATGCACAGTGAATTCCTGTCAGGGTTCCCTCCCCACTCTGAACTCTGGGGTACAGATGTGGGGACCTGCATGAAAGACCCCCTAAGCTTATTCCTACCAGTTTAGAATCACAGAATCATAGAATATCAGGGTTGGAAGGGACCTCAGGAGGTCATCTAGTCCAACCCCCTGCTCAAAGCAGGACCGATCCCCAATTAAATCATCCCAGCCAGGGCTTTTTCAAGCCTGACCTTAAAAACTTTTAAGGAAGGAGATTCCACCACCTCCCTAGGTAACGCATTCCAGTGTTTCACCACCCTCCTAGTGAAAAAAGTTTTCCTAATATCTAACCTAAATCTCCCCCACTGCAACATGAGACCATTACTCCTTGTTCTGTCATCTGTTACCACTGAGAACAGTCTAGATCCATCCTCTTTGGAACTCCCTTTCAGGTAGTTGAAAGCAGCTATCAAATCCCCTCTCATTCTTCTCTTCCGTAGACTAAACATCCCCAGTTTCCTCATCCTCTCCTCATAAGTCATGTGTTCCAGTCCCCTAATAATTTTTGTTGCCCTCTGCTGGACTCTTTCCAATTTTTCCACATCCTTCTTGTAGGGTGGGGCCCAAAACTGGACACAGTACTCCATATGAGGCCTCACCAGTGTCGAATAGAGGGGAACGATCACGTCCCTCAATCTGCTGGCAATGCCCCTAATATACATCCCAAAATGCCATTGGCCTTCTTGGCAACAAGGGCACACTGTTGACTCATATCCAGCTTCTTTTCCACTGTAACCCTTGGGTCCTTTTCTGCAGAACTGCTGCCGAGCCATTTGGTCCCTAGTCTGTAGCGGTGCATTGGATTCTTCCGTCCTAAGTGCAGGACTCTGCACTTGTCCTTGTTGAACCTCATCAGATTTCTTTTGGCCCAATCCTCCAATTTGTCTAGGTCCCTCTGTATCCTATCCCTACCCTCTAGCGTATCTGCCTCTCCTCCCAGTTTAGTGTCATCTGCAAACTTGCTGAGCGTACAATCCACACCATCCTCCAGATCATTTATGAAGATATTGAACAAAACCGGCCCCAGGACCGACCCTTGGGGCACTCCACTTGATACCGGCTGCCAACTAGACATGGAGCCATTGATCACTACCCATTCAGCCCGACAGTCTAGCCAGCTTTCTATCCACCTTGTAGTCCATTCATCCATTTTAACCAGCTTAGGTTAAAACTTCCCCAAGGCACAAATCCTTTCCTCCTCCTTGGATGGTATTGCTACCACCACCAAGTGATTTAGACAAACATCCAGGGAAAAGGGCCACTTGGAGTCCCTGTTTCCCCAAAATATTCCCCCAAGCCCCTTCATCCCCTTTCCTGGGGAGGCTTGAGCATAATATACTAACCAAATGCCTTTAATAAAAGTACAGACCAGACCCTTTATCTTTAGGACACTAAAATCAATCAGGTTCTTAAAAGAAGAACTTTATTATAAAGAAAAAGGTAAAAGAAGCACCTCTGTAAAATCAGGATGGAAGGTAATTTTACAGGGTAATAAACAGATTTAAAACACAGAAGAGTCCCCTCTAGGCTCAACTTCAAAGTTCCAAAAACAGGAATAAACCTCCCTCTTAGCATAGGGAAAATTCACAGGCTAAAACAAAAGCTAATCTAATGCATTTCCTTGCTTTACTTACAATTTTTGTAATCTGAGATGCTTATTTCAGGTAGGGTTTTAGGAGATGTTTTTTTCCTGCCTGGTCCCTCTCTCTGTCCCAAGAGAGCACAACAAAGAGAGCACAAACAAAACCTCTCCCCCTCCCACCCCCAATTCAAAGTATCTTCTTTTCTTATAGGTCCTTTTGGTCAGGTTCCAACCAGGTTATTTGAGCTTCTTAACCCTTTACAGGTAAAGGAGGGATTTTATGCTATCCTTAGCTCTATGTTTATGACAACACTTCTCTGAGGAATTAAGGGACAGAGGTCACAGACTAGTGCAGTCTGTGTGACAAAGGGGTTTTGAGAAGTAAAAACATTTTAAACAGAGATGTAGCTATTGTACATTTTAGCTAGTCTCCTTTACATTACTTTGTTTCCTGTGTCCTGAATCTTTTTGAATGCACTGAAAATCAGGTAGAAAAAAGTTTAATACTTAGACTCCCCTAAATGTGGAAAGAGTCATTGTGTGTCTCCGGTCAGGCATGTCCCAGAACTTGTCAGGCAACTATTCATGCATGTGCTCCTTAAAATGCTGTGTAATAAAGCTTCTATACAGCAGCAGTGTGACTCTATGGATCTCTTCCTGCATTTCCTTCCACTTTGTTGTCATGCCTTTGAAAACAATGGGTATGCCTTTCGAAAGTGCAGGGCCCCAGGCACGTCTGAAGGGTGGCTGGGGGAATGGGATTGGTGCACACACTGGCAAGCACAAACATATATTCATGAAGCATTCTTTAGAAGATATCAAGATGTGTATTCACACCGTGTTGACCATCGAATGTCCTCTGAAAAGGTTTCACATTTTGCAAAAAATGAAAACAAAATACCACTGGAGGACTTCACCATCAGCACAAGTGTATGTCCCCTCCAATGGCGATGGTGATAAATCATCATTTGTGATTAATGCTCTAATGATCTGCTTTCATCTTAGTATCTCAAAGATCTTTACAAAAGTAAGGGCTAAACCCTGGTCCCACACAAGCTAATGAGAGTTTTACCACTGAAATCCATTGGACCATAGTTTAGCCTTAATTAATCTCTGCAACACCTCTGTGAGGTGGGTAAGTATTATTATCCATGTGTCAATAACAATGAGGAATAGGACTCAGTAGTTCTGGATCCTAGTCCTATGATCTTACCAGCAGATCATGGCCCATCTCAGGTTATGTGCTTATTTTCCCCACATCAGTTCACTCCTCCAGCATCTGTCACTCGGACATCTCCCAGACTCCGTTCCCCTTGGTGCCACTGTCCAACAAGCCACTGCTCTGTCATCAACCTAAATGCTAGCTGAGGAGGATCTTCTGGTCAACTTTTCCACCATCTCTTTTTCTTCTGTCTTTATCTATTAGAAGAACAGTAGCATTATTCATAGAATATCAGGGTTGGAAAGGACCTCAGGAGGTCATCTAGTCCAACCCCCTGCTCAAAGCAGGACTAATCCCCAATTTTTGCCCCAAATCCCTAAATGGCCCCCTCAAGGATTGAACTCACAACCCTGGGTTTAGCAGGCCAATGCTCAAACCACTGAGCTATCCCTCCCCCATTACAGCCTCTGGCCTTTGATCAGGAGGATGGGCAATAACTATTGAGGCAGGAACCAGTGCTGGTCCTTGGGTTTGCCAGCAATGCACACTCCTAGGGAAAGCGGATATTGCTCTTCATTCTTGTCGCTTCCTTAATGCCGCTTATCTCCACTAGCCCAAAGGTTACTTCCAAATCACAGACACAGACCTACCTTTTTATGTCCTGGGCCCAGCTTTTCAATGTGGGCACCTTAGAGTTACATGCAGGTCTCCCATTTGGATGCTTACATTGCCTCTTGGGCTTGTAAATGCCGATTTAATGAGCCTAGAGGTTGATTTGATTCCTAAATGTGGGAATTGGACACCTTGTTAGGAAGCCCACGTGTGATACCTGGGCCAGATGTGTTCCATTATAGTGCTGCTAGCTGTGTAAGTCCTACATGCTCTGCTGCTCATTGTACATGTGTGTGCAGGCCTAACCTGCCGCATTAATAGCACACAGGGTCTGGGGAGAGCTCAGCGGAGCTTTCCTGAAAAGCATGGGGTTTTGAGGTCGGGGAAAGATGCAGGAATGCTACAGGCACCCTCTATAACATCTGGCTATTGACATCTGGACCGAGCTTAGCACCTCTGGGCCAGCCTCTTTGTGGTGTTTAGATGTTGCTTGTAATTATTAGAACTGGGAGCACTGGCTGTTGGAGTCTGAAAGGACAGGAAACACGAAGGATGGGGGAGGAGTTGTAGAGGCTGAGGGAGAGCTACCGAGGGTGCAGCAGCTGCTTGGAAAAGACGTTTCCACTTTAAAAAATAAAGCCCTGTAGAAGTCCTTGCCTGGTTACTACAACACTCTTCCAGCCAGGGTTCAAGACTTGGTGGATCCTCATACTAAGTTGCCTGGTTGTTGTCTGAACTCTGTAGAAGAGCACATATCTGTCCATGTGACTCCCCACTGCTTTTCCTCCCAGAGTGTGGCTAGTGAATGTGCTGTCATTGAGTACGCTGTATGCCACAGAACAAGGGTATCACAGCAGCAGGATACATGCTTGCAGAAAGTCATAAAATATACACAGGGAAATGTTAGAGCCACTGGTGCCTAGAGTGGGACTAAACTACAGTGCCTCAAATGTTGTCAGAGATGATCCTCCTTTGAGAACTCTTCCTCTTTTGTGCCCCATGTACCTCTTTGCTTCCAGCACCCTGGTGACTAGTGCAGATCTGACCCAAAGGCTCTGAGCCTAGCAGGACAGCTTTATGAAGGGCAGAGTTTATTTTCTCTGAGCTCTTTATGTGAAGCTTTGTAAGACAGCTCTTGCAGCAGAATCCCCATGATCAACAGCAGAGGAAAGGCTGATCTGGTTGCTGTGTCTGTGATGCTCTGGGCACACCTTTCTGTTTCACTTGTGTTTCTGCATTTGGTTAGCTTCAATGAACTTCCAGTTGTTTTGATTCCTCGAGTTGCTGTTGAGAGTCTCATCCCCTTACTACTGGTTTTAGGTGCTGTACAATACTGCAGCAGTGCAGTGCCGGCTTGGGCTGTGGCAGGAAGCTAGAATAACCCTGGAGGAGGCTGTCAGACAGAGGCCTGAAGGAAGACCCACTAGCCTGGATGTTGCCCTTGAGCGGGTGCAGGTGAGACTGACTATAAATAAGGCTAAGATTTAGTCATGGAAGTTGCGTAGGTCACAGAATCCATGACTTCCAGCAACCTCTGTGACTTCAGCCTCCGTTGTGGTCGGGAGCTTCAGGGTCCCCCACTGCCTGCAGGGGCAGGGAGCTATGGGGTACCCCCACCACCTCTGGCAGCCCCCAGAGTTCCAAGCTGGCACTGGTGGAGGGGGAACCCCCAATCTTCCAGCCGCTGCAGGCCCCTGGAGCTGCAGGCGGCAGAGGAGCCCTGCAGCCCCCAGCTGCTGCAGGTGGCGGGGGGAACCCCTGAGCTCCCAGCTGCCATGGGCGGTGGGGGAACCCCCAGAGCTCCCAGCTGCTGTGGGTGGTGGGGCTTGCAGAGCTGCTGGAGGCAGGGGTACCCCACAGCCCCGAGCTGCTGCAGGCGGTTCCTAGCCCCTGCGCAGCTGCCCCGCTTCAGGAAATGTGGGGACCCACGGATCCCCATTTTGTCACTGATATTTTTAGTAAAAGCCAGGGAGGTCAGGGCTTCCATGAACTTTTCTTTTTTGCCCATGACCTGTCCATGACTTTTACTAAAAATATCTGTGACAAAATCTTTGCTTTAACTATAAAGGGTTAAACCCTGGGGATTTCATAGGGCCCAAGTTAAAAAGTCTCCACCTGGGCTATGAGCACTCCAAAGATTGGAGTGTTCCAGCTGTTGTATCTGCCCCCTGCCTGCAACCTGCCTACAGTGGCTTTTCCTTCCAAGCATAGAAGTTGTGATAGCCTGTCAGAGCAATTGTCCATCTAATTTAGCATCCTGTCTCAATCACTACCAGATGCTTCAGAGATAACTAGTAACACCATAGTGAACAGTTATGGAATAATCTGGTCATAGGGGAAGTTTCATCTTAGCTGCTGCCAGTTAGGGATCCGCTTGTGTTCTAAAGCACAGTGGTGATCTCCCCTATAAAATGCTATAAAAAACCCTGTCGAATGTAACTCTGGATCTTCTTATTGTCCATAAAAATGGCTAATCCTTGGCGTCAGTGATATCTTGTGACAATGAGCCTCAGAGGTTAATTACTGGTTAATTCACCAGTTAAGTGCTGTATTTCCTTTTATTTGTTTTAAGTGTGTTGCTTTTTGATTTCATATCTTGTTCCTGTATTATCAAAGAGGGTAAACAGGAGCTCCTGATTTATCTTTTCTAGACTGGTCATTATTTTGTATACCTGTCATGTCTCATCTTACGCATCTGCTCTCCAGAGGAAACAGTCCCAGTCTTTTCATTTGCTCCTTGTACAAATCTCTCGCCATCCTGCTAATGACTTTTAAGACTCATCCCTGAACCCCTTTCATATCTGTCATGACTTGTATGAGGTAGGGTGACTAGAAGTAAACATAATATTCCAGAGAAAGCTTCACCATTGATTCCAAAAATGGCATTATGCTATTTTCAGTATTATTTTCATCCCATTCTTTGTACTTCATAAAAATTGATTTGCTTGTATGGGATCTGAATGCTAGACTCTAGTTACAATTTACAGAGAACATTAAAATCGAGGAAGATGAACAGGAGAAGCAGATTAGAGATTTATTTAGCAAATCTTATTTCATGCTCTCCCTTCATTTATTTCATGCTTCCCCATCCTGGTAGCTCCAGAAATCATCTTATGCACAGAAGTGTGAACTATCTTAGCCTCTACATGTTGGTCAAGTCCAGGTCACACTTTTTAAATTACATAATTTCTGCCACATTGAATTCCCTGGATTGACCAGACCCCATGGGGGAAGCAGTATTTACTTTTATTTTTTAAATGTTAAGCTGTGATTAATGATATCTGGTGTCCTTGGTTTGATCTCTTCCCCACCCCCCACACCTCCCACTGTAGAATCATCTCCTCCTGGAGCCCGTACATGTTCCCCTGGGGGAATTTTTCAGACCACGAAAGGAGGAAGTTGAGCAGCTGGATTCAAAAGATTTCCTGGGTAAACCCAAGGTAAGGCCCCCTAGGCTGCAGAAAAGTCAGTCCTACTGTAAGAATGTTAGCATGGTGCCCTGGTGACTGAGGTCAGCAATGAGCAAACTACGATCCAGGGCTCTGGTTGCTCCTGAGAACGTTACTGCCAGGGTCCTCTACCCGCCACAGCACCGACAGCCTCCTGAGAGCAACATTGCTTGGGCCCTCTGCCAGCCGCAGTGCCTGAGAAATATCAGCTGAGATTCTTTAGACTCTAAGTGCAATGGCTCTGTCGTTAAGAACCAGTCTTTCAAGACATGTGGGCTCACCTAACCAGTCCCACAGGGTTTGACCCTCTGAGCTGTAGCAGATTCCCACTTGTTGTGGGATGACTTTTTTGTTGTTTGGTTAATGCCTTTTAGAGAATATTAGCAGGTCATCAGAAGATTTCTCTTCTCATTTCTGTTATCTCTTCACCCTTTGTGTAAGTGACACAGGCCAGGAGCCTCTTGAGTGCAGGGAAAATGAATGGTTGTGCTCTCAGATTCACTCACAGACATGTAGAAAACCAGCGTGGCAAGAGCTAGAAAACCAAGCCCCTGGAGTAGATGGGGTTACTGCCTGGACTCAGCTCTGCACTCTCCATTGTGTGCTGTGACTTTTTAAGCCCTGCCACTTGGTGCTAGGGACTCGCTCATGGGGAAACCAGGGTCAGTGGCTGGTTCCCAGAGGCAGTTTTAACAGGGCCGGGCTGTTCCTTCATGTGATCCAGAGGCTGATCTGATCTGTCCTCTGGCAGGTGATCTCCTCCGTCATTCCCAATGATGAGTACATCGGATTTGAGCCTCTCAGGCCACAGGTGAGTGGGACAGTGCAATGACTTATGGTAACTTGATTTATGCATGGCAAGGTCATGTAATGGCATCGCTGTCATATAGCTCCACTTAGGGTCCCCAGCCAAAGGCATCCATCAGGATGAGAACCTCTCATGGACTACATAATATTTTAGTGTGCAGAGGTTTCCCTGGGGCTCTGAGTCCTGCATGTCTCCCACTGCCTAGCAATTCCTACCATCCAATTGCCATATCACTGCAGATATCCTTCCACTCCTCAGACCCCATCAGTCTTGCTTCATCATTGGCCAGAGGGGCTCAGATGAGGCACATAAGTCTCTGCCCCCTGAATGGAGCATTCTTTTCTCTGCACTAAATTAAAGCCGCTGCAGCAGAGTCTATGTAATGTTTAACTCACTTGCCCAGCTGTGTGAGCCTGGTTCCTCCGGGGGAGAGGGGTGCACTGTCATGTGAATGTTAGGAGCGGGGAAACACGCAAGTAGGTTGGTCTCCACTGGGTGGGGTGGGCAGAGAAGAGGGGGCTGCCAGCACTGCTCAGCAGTGTGGAGTGGCCTTGATGACTGTCCCTAAAGTGGTGATTGACAAGTGTGAACAGGAGAATAGGAGGGAAAATGTCAGAGACTGAAACTCCCGCTCAGACTCTGCATTTCTGCCTGATACAAGCTATTACAAATCATTGTGGGGAAGTTCTCTGGCCTGTGTTATAGAGGAGGTCAGCCTAGATTATCACAATGGTCCCTTCTGGCTTGGAATCTGGCTCTATGAAATAGATGCTGTTGTTTCTCCACAGAGACAGGGCTTTTATGAACCCAGTGTCAATGCTGTGCGGTAAGTAACCAGCCCCAGCTGGCTTTACTCTTCTGTCACTATTTCTATTCATGGCACCTTGTCTTGGCTGCAGAGGTTTTGGTTTGAAGACTCTGTAGCATCCCAGTCCTAGAGATCTATCACTGTGGAGAAAATGCTGTGTGTGAGAAAGGTTTGTGTGACTGTGATAGCCATTGTAGTTAACAACAACACCTGGCACTTATAGAATATTACGGTTGGAAGAGACTACTGGAGGTCATCTAGTCCAACCCCCTGCTCAAAGCAGGACCAACACCAACTAAATCATCCCAGCCAAGCCTTTGTCAAACTGGGCTTTAAAAATCTCTAAGGATGGAGATGCCACCACCTCCCCAGGGAGCCCATTCCAGTGCTTCACCACCCTCCGAGTGAAATAGTGTTTCCTAATATCCAACCTAGACTTCCCCCACTGCAACTTGACACCATTGCTCCTTGTTCAGTCATCTGCCACCACTGAGAACAGCCTAGCTCCATCCTCTTTGGAACCCCCCTTCAGGTAATTGAAGGCTGCTATCAAATCCCCCCTCACTCTTCTCTTCTGCAGACTACACAAGCCCAGTTCCCTCAGCCTCTCCTCATAAGTCATGTTCCCTAGCCCCCTAATAATTTATAATAAGTCCACTGGACTCTCTCCAATTTGTCCACACTCCTTCTGTAGTGGGGAGACCAAAACCGGATGCAATACTCCAGGTGTGGCCTTACCAGTGCCAAATAGAGGGGAATAATCACTTCCCTCCATCTGCTGGCAATGTTCCTACTAATACAGCCCAAAATGCTGTTGGCCTTCTTGGCAACAAGGGCATACTGTTGATTCATATCCTGCTTCTTGTCCACTGTAATCCCCTCATCCAGATCATTGATAAAGATGTTGAACAAAACCGGCCCCAGGACCGACCCCTGGGGCACTCTGCTTGATACCGGCTGCCAACTAGACATCGAGCCGTTGATCACTAGCCATTGAACCCGACAATCTAGCCAGTTTGCTATCCACCATATAGTCCATTCATCCAACCCATGCTTTTTTTTAACTTGCTGGCAAGAATACTGTGGGAGACCATATCAAAAGTTTTGCTAAAGTCAAGGTATATCACATCCACTGCTTTCCCCATATCCACAGAGCCAGTTATCTCATCATAGAAGGCAATCAGGTTGGTCAGGCATGACTTGCCCTTGGTGAATCCATGCTGACTGTTCCTAATCACCTTCCTCTCTGCCAAGGGCTTCAAAATGGATTCCTTGAGGACCTGCTTCATGATTTTGCCAGGGACTGAAGTGAGGCTGTAGTTCCCTGTGTTCTCTTTTTTCCAATTTTTAAAATATGGGCACTATATTTGCCTTTTTCCAATCGTCTGGGACCTCCCCGATCACCACAGATTTTCCAAGATAATGGCCAATGGCTCTGCAATCACATCAGCCAACTCCCTCAGCACCCTTGGATGCATTAGATCTGGACCCATGGACTTGTGCACATCCAGCTTTTCTAAATACTCCTTAACCTGTTCTTTCACCACTGAGGGCTGCTCACCTCCTCCCCATGCTGTGCTGCCCAGTGCAGCAGTCTGGGAGCTGACCTTGTCTGTGAAGACCGAGGCAAAAAAAGCTTTGAGTACTTCAGCTTTTTCCACATCATCATCTTCCACATCACTATGTTGCCTCCCCCATTCAGTAAGGGTCCCACACTTTCCCTGACCTTCTTCTTGTTACTAACATACCTGTAGAAACCCTTCTTGTTACCCTTCACGTCCCTTGCTAGCTGCAACTCCAACTGTGCCTTGGCCTTCCTGATTACACCCCTGCATACTCTAGCAATATTTTTATACTCCTTCCAAGTTATCTGTCCAAATTTCCACTGCTTGTAAGCTTCCTTTCTGAGTTTAAGTTCACCGAAGATTTCACTGTTAAGCCAAGCTGGTCGCCTGCCTTATTTGCCATTCTTTCTGCACTTCGGGATGGTTTGTTCCTGTGCCCTCAATAAGGCGTCTTTAAAATACAGCCAGCTCTCCTGGACTCCTTTCCCCCTCATATTATCCTCTCAGGAGATCCTGCCCAAGGGAGTCTAAGTCTGCTTTTCTGAAGTCCAGGGTCTGTATTTTGCTAGTCTCCTTTCTTCAGGATCCTGAACTCAACTATCTCATGGTCACTACTGCCTAGGTTGCCACCCACTTCTACGTCCCCTACTTCTATAACACCTTGCAAGGATCTCAAAGCCCTTTGCAGATATAGATTAAGCCTCACAGCCACCCTGTGAGGAAACTAAATACCGTGTCACAGGTTGGGAAACAGAGACAGAGAGAGGTTAAGTGACCTGTTCAAGACCACATAGTAAGTCAATGGCAGTGCCACTATTAGAACCCACAACTATTGACTCTCAGTCTTCTGGCTCTAGCCCCCAGGACAAGACTTCCAAATGCTCCTGTCAGCACTGCTGTAACTGGGGCCAAATTCAGCCCTGGTCTGAGGAGGTGCAGCTCCATTGACTTCCCTGGGTTTGTGCTTCCAATACTCCAGGGCTGAATCTGGCCCCTTGTTTTCATCTGGAAAAGCTAGAAGGTGGTTCCTGAATACGGTTGCCAACGGTCTAATTGCACAAACCCAAACACCCATGCGCTGCCCCCTTCCCTGCCCCTTCTCAGAGGCCACACCCCTTCTCAGAGGCCCCTCCCCCCCTCGCTCGCTCTCCCCCACCCTCACTCACTTTCACAGTGAGTCTGTGGCAAGGGGTTGGGGTGTGGGAGGTGGTGAGGGCTCCAGCTGGGGGTGCAGGTTCTGGAGCAGGGTTGGAGATGTGGGGTTTGGGGTGCAGGAGGGGGTGCAGGCTCTGGGAGGGAGTTTGAGTGCAGGAGGAGGCTCGGGGCTGGGGCAAGGGGTTGGGCTCCAGTTGGGAGGCGCTTACCTCGGGTGGCTCCCGGAAGCCTACCTACCCTGGCTCTGTGCGGTTGCAGGCACTGCCCCTGCAGCTCCCATTGGCCACAGTTTCTGGTCAATGGGACCTGCAGAGCTGGCACTCAGGGCAGGGGCAGCGCACAGAGATCCACTGGCCGCCCCTGCGCCTAGGAGCCAGATTACTTCTGGGAGCCACGTGGAGCCAGGGTAGGTAGGCAGGCTGCCTTAGCCGTGCTGTGCCGCCGACTGGACTTTTAGCAGCCTATTAAAATCTCCCAGATTGATTTCAATAGCCTCCAGGAGATTGTGGCTAATTCCAGAAGACTCCCTGTCAATCTGGGAAGGTTGGCAACCCTATTCTTGGAGCCACTTGAAACTCGACATTTTCATTCAGCAGGAAATGCTGACATTTTGAAATTGTTTTCATTCCAAATCTAAACAAAAATGAAAAATTTAAATTTCCTGTGAAACGAAGTTTTCCAAAACTGTTTGTTTCAGGTCAGTCAGAATGTTCCATTTAAATGAAATTGAAATGTTTCATTCTGATTCCAGCCGTTTATTTTACACTATAACTTATAGACTATAAATGCAAATACATTTCTAAATGAAAGGGCATTTCAAAACAACAACAAAAAAATCAAAATATTCTTTTTTGATTGGGTTGATCTTATTGAAACACTTGTAAGGAAACATTTTGTGAACCAGAATTTGTCAAAATCAAAATCAATACATTCTGACAGAAAGTTTCTATTGTATTGAAATGGTATTTTCTGATGGAACAATGCTCTGTCAGGAAAGTTGCACCCAGCTCTAGAGTTCACACACTAGGACAGAGGTGGGCAAACTACAGCCCAGGGGTCGCATCCGGTGCTCCAGACCTTTTAATCCGGCCCTCAAGCTCCGCCGAGGCGCGGGGGCCAGGACTTGTCCCGCTCCGCGCAACTCCCACAAGCAGCGGCATGCACCCTCTCCAGTTCCTACACTTAGGGGCAGCCAGGGGGCTCCACAGGCTACTTCCACCCCAAGTGATACCTCCGCAGCGCCCATTGGCCAGGAACTGTGGCCAATGGGAGCTGCAAGGTTGGCGCTTGCAGACAGGGAAGCATGCAGACCCACCTGGCCACGCCTCTGCATAGGAGCCGGAGAGGGGACATGCCCCTGCTTCTGGGAGCTGCTTGAGGTAAGCACCACCAGGAGCCTGCACCCCTGACCCCCTCCTGTGCCCCAACGTCCTGCCCCATCCCTGATTCCCCTTCCACCCTTTCAACCCCTTCATCCCAGCCCGGAGCAACCTCCTGCACCCCCAACCCCTCATCCTCAGCCCCACTCTAGAGCCCACACCTCAGCCGGAGTTTCCCTGTGGGAATTCTCAGAAATGGCTGGAAGGCAAAAGAGGGAACCTCTGTCTGCGCCAGTCTGTCCCATCATCTGCTGATGGCGTGTTCTTCTCCAAAAGTTCATGGGTTATCATCTCTGACAGACCATAAATATGATAATTGCACCATGGAGACACAGCCCAAGGCTACTGCTGCCTATGAGGGGAGATGTGCCCAAGGGAAGCATTCTCGAGCTTACTCAGCTCACAACTGAGAGTATGTGGCGAGGAAGGATCACCCTGTGGGAGGAAGGATGGGCTCGTGGTTAGAGCTCTGAAGTGAGACACTGGATCTGGGTTTCCAGCTCTACCACAACCCTCTTGTCATTGGACCTTGGACAGATTTAGGTGTCTAACTGGGTGTGGAGCCCCAATGAAAGTCCAGTCTGAACTGTAGGTGCTGAGCTCTTCTGAAAATTTGTCCCTTGATCACTCTTTGCCTTAGTTCCTCATCTGTAAAATGGGGGTAATGATGCTCTCCTACTGCACAGTGGTGTGGGAAGGAGACAGTCCTTGATGGTTGTGAGATGCTATGGGGATGGAGGCATGTAAGTACTAAGAACAGAGTAGAAGGATGTGGCTTTCCTCAGACGCCAGTGAAAAGACAGGTCCTCCAGCAGAATGCAGTGGGGACTCCACCCCAGAGAAGCGTGGCATTGTTCCAGGGTGCACTGGCACTTGGGGGGCAGTGAATCTCCTACAACTCTTTATATTTCAAAGTGCATTGGCAGAAGAGCCAGTGGAAAGGCCACAGGATGGCAACGGCTATTCCTAGCCTGAATGTCTCCAAGAAGGATAACCAGAGGGGCAAAGAGAAGGGCATCCCATTAAACCCAGTGGTGTCCACACCCCACAGTGGGAGAGTGACAGCCCCAAAGGGTGCTGAGTAAAGCTGTTCCTTTTTTTCCCCTCTCCAGAGACCACGACTCAGGTTACTATCGAGTCGTGACTCATTATTACCCAGAGGACTCTGAAGAGATGGCAGTGAAGGGCAGCACCATCATCTTTGTGCTAAATAAAGGGGCAGATGGCTGGGCTACAGCCATATGGGACGGACAGGTATGTGGAACTGGCAGGCTGGCACTCCTGCCTCTAGCACAGCATCAGTAGACACTACAGCACGCCCTGCCAGCTGGGGCTTGCTGAGGCTTTAATAGGATGTAGACACTACAGCACGCCCTGCCAGCTGGGGCTTGCTGAGGCTTTAATAGGATGCTCCTTTGGTAGCTCTCAGGAGCAGGAGCAGCCAAGAGGGTGGGATATGACATTAACTTCTCTGAAGCTGCCAGTTCACTTTCAGAGATTGGACACTGTGACGGGGCGACGACTCACTGCTGCAGCGCTTCCTGCTGGTTGTCCAGGGAATTAGCTCTTTTCAGCCAGGAGCACCCTCTGCCGGTCGGTGTCTCGCCTGCTGCTGGCCCTGTGCCCCTCCCAGACCCCAGTGCCCTTCTAGATTAGGGTTCTGCCCCCTGGCAATAACCCCTCAGTCTGGGTCTCCCCTCCCCAGGGGACCTCCAACCCCCTATCCCTTTCTTACCTCAGTGGCTACTGTCAGTCATCATCTAGCCCCCACTCCCTGGGGCAGACTGCAGTCTGTACCACTCATCATTGACAAGGCGGGGGGTCAGACCAGCTGCCTTTGTCTAGGTCTGGGCTGTGCTGCTCCTCTGCAGCCTTAGTACCCTTTTGTGGGCCTTTACCTCGGGCTGCAGCTTAGGGCTCTGCTAGGCTGGAGCTCCCCAGCTCCCTCTGCCCTAGGTACCCTCCTCAGCTTCCTAGTCAGCCAGGTCCTCCTCTCTCCACATAGCTAGACAGAGTGTCTCTCTCAGCCCCTGGCTAACAGCCCTCTTATAGGGCCAGCTGTGGCCTGATTGGGGCATGGCCCCACCTGTGGCTACTTCCCCCAGTCAGCCTAGCTTTCCTCCGGCTACAGCCCTCTCTTTGGGCTGTTTTAAGCCCTTTGAGGCATGGCGGGGTGACTACCCCACCACAGACACTAACAGCAGCAGCTGTTAAGGTCTGTTCAGATCCCACTGACTTTTCCCCATCATCTCTCTAATTCCACTGGCCAGTAAACTGGAGAGCTCAGCTTTTTCTGATCCTTATCCCTTCCGACACACATGCATCCTGCATAGGGATTATGCAACTAGAAACATTCGGCGAGAACCACTAGCAGGTGCACAATTCACACTAATTGTGAAGCCTCGCCTCCTGCAGAATAAAGTGCACAAAATGTGTCTAGGGTTCATTCAGTGGCCTGCTCGCAACTGCCGTATGGAAAGCAGGGTCCTCAGAAGGGAGAGCAATGTGCTGCTGTGTCCGCAAGTGGGCATCACCTCCCACATGCAATCCTCAGTAGGCCAATTTAACATTAGAGGCCAGGAGCCCCGTCATGGGCCAGGATCGCTCTGTGCTGTGACCTGTACTAACTCAGAATAAAGGGCAGTGCCTGCTCCTAAGAGCTTACAATCAAAGTATAAGGCAGAGAAAACAGGTGAGTCCAACAGGCAGATGGGCGAGCACAAGGAAACAGTGAGGTAAGACTGGTCAGTCTGACAGGCAGTAGTCTCAGCAGCCTAACCATTGTCAAGTTCTCTGGTAGGTATCACAGCACAGGAGAGTTATAAAGAGGAAACCGAAGAAAGATGGAGGCAGCTCCTCCCGCGTGTGAAGGGCAACGTGGGAGGAAGCACAAAGGTACCTCTTTAAAAGTTAACAAGTGGGTGAGGAAGGCTGGCGGTTCAGAGGCAGGATTCAACATCTTGAGCGATGACGGGTAGGTGGGGACAGGCTGTGAAGGGCCTTGAAAGCAATGGCGCATAGTTTGTGTTTGTGATGATGGAGAAGGGTGGGCCAGCAGACAGAGTGACCTGGTCAGAGCGGCATGCCAGGAAATGACAATGCCACAAGGGTGTGAATGACTGAGGGGCAAGGTGGGGTTGTCAAGACCAGAGAAGACAATCTCCTGCACCGGGCAGAAGAGTGCCTGTTTCCGCTCAATGCAGCCTGGTTTCACCTTATTTTCTGTTCTGCTCTGTATTTCCCCAGAAACTGCGTATACCGAACTCTCACCTGGAGCCTGTTCATGCCCCCAAGGCTGATAAATGGGTAAGGGGACAATCTTGTGACTATGGGGTGTGGAAGGGAGAGAAAACACAGCCAGGCCACTTGTGCTGTGTGTCTGAACCACAGAGCAAGGCAGTGGGCTCTCTCTTCAGAAACACCCCATGTGTAGGTTCAGGGCTTTCAGCCAGCGAGGGACAATGTGAAATCCAAGCAGCAGGCAAAAGGTGAATTTTTTCCACAGCTCTGATCTGTTTCCTGCAGTCGAAGCTTCCATTTTGGAAAAAATCCATTTCTTTTACCCCCTCCTCCTCACAGCTAGGACCCTCCATATTATAACCAATGCAGCCTTGCTTTAATGGCTTGACCTGTCTGAAAGCTGTCTCCACTTGAATCCTCCAGCAGACAAGGTGTGACTCACACACATGCGCCTACTGCAGCAAGCAGGGAATTTCAGAGCCCACTTTCGTTCTGACATACTAGTGGCCTCTAGAGAATGAACTTCCACTGGCCCTACTGTAGTTGAGAAACTGGCTCTTCAGGCCTGACTCTGTTATCATTTATCCCATGGAGTTGGTAGTGTTCCCTACTGTAAAACCATTTCAGTGCAGACACCCAGTCTGTTCAGTGCAGAACCTTGGAGCTGAGTGAGGGGCAGATAAGCCCTTGGGTCAGAGGGATCAGCCATGGAAATCCCAGTGAAGATGGATTCCATTTTTGCTCAGATGGGGAGGTGGCCGTCCCCAGACTAAATGTGGGGTCTGGATCCCAGAGAGGTGAACAGAGCTAACAGTGCAGCAAAATAAAACAAACCCGTATGGGTACCAGGTGGGTAACCACCCTCTGGGGAAGCCTGGAGGAGCCTGAGTGCTCCATGTCATACCTGAGTTAATGAATCAGCAATCCCTGAGGCTCTGCCCACCTTTAAAGTCATAGCCTGCAATCTACTCAGTGACGCAAACCAGCTGCCACCTGCCCCTTCTGGCCAGTGGGGAACAAGGGAGCTGATTTCCCAAAACTTCAGTTCCTTAGAACTGTTCTGCTTCACAGTGGCCTCAGCCACACTCTCCTCATGTGTCTGATCAGTTCGTTTTCATTTTGTTCTCTCGCAGAAAGTCAGTAATGGGATCCCTCTTCCCCCTGTTAAAGTACCCCCCAACCGGCCCCACTTGCAGGAAATGGACCAGCAGCAGCCAGGTAAATCCTGCTTTCTGGGACTGAAGGGGCATGTGGGGGTAAGGATCCCAATGGGAGTTGTGTGGGATCACCCACCAGTGCCCCAAAACACCGCTGCTCTAGGGAACCTACACTACCGGCAGGGCTAGTTCCCCACTTGCAGCATGTGGTTCTGGGATGGACTGACCGTGTAACCCAAGAGCACCTTGGTAGCAGGGTAGATCGTGTGTGTCAGGGATGACTGCACACACTTTGCTTCGCTGTGGCCCACTCATTCTGCTCTGAACAGAGACTGGGGGCCACAACTGTGTCCAAATAGAAATGAACTGGTTGGCAGGCACCTGGTGATTCAGAGCTGGTGCGCAATAAATGCAGCTGCTGCCATTTGTCACTTGCCCCCCTTGCTATGGTGACGAGTACAGACAGGGTTCTATATACCTGTCCCGAGAGGGGAGGATGGACAGCTCCGGCCGTAGAATCGGTGGCTTCTCGTGCTGCCTGGAGTCCCTCCAGATGTGGCTCAGTGGGACCCCCCCAAAGCTGACCAACCCTATCTCCTCCAAAGAGGCCCTGCCCATTGTCATGATGGCTGTTTGGCAATGTTTTGCTCTGCAGGACCTGCTGAGGGAGAAGACACTGCTGCAAATGATGCTGATCCGCAAGCAGACTCGAAGGTGCAATGTTCCCCAATGTCACAAACCATTAAGGCTATAAAATCACTGGTGCCAAAGGTAAGGGTGGATTCAGCCCACTTCCCCCAAAACTCCAGAGCCACCACAAAACTTTGGGGCTCACTGGAAAGCCTTTTCTTCCAGACCAGTTCCCCCTCCCCCATCCCAGAGAGATCCTAACTCCCAGATGGACTTTTGTCTGTTACTCTTGAGTCCTTGATCTTCCTCTTCTTCTGTCTCTCCCGGCCCAGACTGTTGCTCTGTGCTGTTAACAACCACTGTGTTCTATCACAGAGAGCGCTGCATTTCTGGGGTTAGAGAAATCATCTCTGTATCCTTTTCCTACCTCACATTGGACTTGTGCCTACAGAGCCTTTCTTTGTCAGAGGCAGCTGCTGATGAGGTCACCAGCAGCCCCACTTTATTTGGCACAGCCACTAGACCGCCTGTGATTTTGGAGTCAGTGCTGTGTCAAGCTGCATGGATTGGCAGCTGAAATTTCCACAGGAAATTATGGGACCTGGCAGCATCATCTCAGGGACATGTTTGCATGATAATACAGGGAGTACCTGTCTCCCCTCTGGAGCTGAATACTCCTATGCTGAATACTCCTGTGCCGAGCAGATGTGTCTGAGTTATAGGATTCAGATCCAGACTCTTCCAAGAGGAAAAATGGAAGTGTTTGGATCCAGGGTTTGGAGAAATGCCCCCCACATGTGAAATTCACATCTGGATCCTGGCTCATATTCTATGCCACGTGGAGTTTGGTGGCACTGAGGTTGGCATTTGGGTTAAGCCCCCCCCCCCTTGACTCTGGTTATGGAAGGATGGGCTAGTGGTCGGGGCACTGGCCGAGATGTGGGAGACCTGTGTTCGGTTCCTTGTTCCACCAGGGACTTCCTGGGTAAGTCACTTCATGTCTCTGTGCCTCAGCACCCCAGCTGTGAAGGGGAGATAATAATATTTCCGTACCTCACAAGGACATTGTGAGGATAAATACATTAACTGATTGTAAAGTGCTTTGAGCTCTGCTGTTCCTCAGATGTTCTTGTCAACTGCTGGAAATGGCCCACCTTGAATATCACTACAAAAGGTCCCCCCCACCCCCCCGCTCTCCTGCTGGTAATAGCTCAACTTAAGTGATCACTCTGGTTACAGTGTGTATGGTAACACCCATTGTTTCATGTTCTCTATGTATATAAAACTCCCCACTGTATTTTCCACTGAATGCATCCGATGAAGTGAGCTGTAGCTCACGAAAGCTTATGCTCAAATAAATTTGTTAGTCTCTAAGGTGCCACAAGTACTCCTTTTCTTTTTGCAAATACAGACTAACACGGCTGCTACTCTGAAACCTGCATAAGAATAGGCATTATTGTTATTCAGATATTTGCTGGTGAAATCGCTCTAACCAACCCACCGAGAGCAGATTCTCCTTTGCTTCCTGGTTGTTTGCAGGTCCCACTGGCTCAGGACAAAGCATCCTCCAGCGAGAACAGATCCATCCTGCTGAAAGTCCACTGTGACTATACAGTTAAAGTGAACAAGGCCCTGACCTTGTCAGACCTCAGGTCTCTGCTGCGGGAGACATTCAGCCAGCAGGCAGAGCTTGGGAAGCTGAGGTAGGCTTGGTCACAGACTGGAAATAGGGTTGCACTCTGGATACACTCAGCTGGTGCCAAAGGCTGAGTTGGAGTTTCTCCTTCCCAGTGAGCTGCAGCTTTCCTCTTGCCATTGCAGACAAATCATTGCAGTTCCCTGAAGAGGTGTTTGCCCAAGGAGCTAGACATAAGCCATGTCTGCCATCCGTGTTGTTCTCCACAGGGCATTTTGTCTTTCAGTAGGGCTCAGGCAGCCATAGGCACAGTTCACAAAATGAGTACATACAAAGCAGCACAGTGTCCCCTCTCCCAACTGAATGGTCACACAAAGCCCTGCCCCCTGGATATTCCACCTCATTGCTTTAGAGCACAACACTGACTCCTTGGGGACAGGGAATTTGTGAGCAGGGAGGTTTCACAGGACCAAAGGAGTATGGATCTGCACCTGCAGTAGTGAAAGAGGGGGAAGTTTAAAGAGAAATGCTATTGTAGACACCTCTGACCTGGAATGATTTTCTCCCAGCCAGGGCAACATTTAAGGCACACCAGGTTCAACTCAGTTGCACTTTGTGTGCCCAATTTAGAGGTCTTGTGTAAGTCTAAAGCAGACTGAAGTTTTGTCTACTGGAGCTGGAGGCGTAATTTCATATGCGCTAGCTCTGGTTGAGCTAGTGCGCTAAGAATAGCAGCGTAGCCCTGGTGGCATAAGCAGCAGAATGGGATAGCCAGCGTAAACCCTCTGCATCCAATCCTGTCTGAAAGCCTAGGTACGTATTCAGGGCCGCCAGCCCTTCCCCCGGCCTGTGGCACGACCGCTACACTTCTCCTTTTAGCACGCGAGCTTGCACACAGCTAGTGCAGGTCTGTCTGCCTGATCGGGGAATTACACCTCCAGCTCCACGCAGACATACCCCAGAGGTCCTGGACTGACATGCTTAGGAAATCAGAGGGAGATGCAAGCTGCACAAGTTTAGATTCACCTCTGAATTTGGCCCTAGTGCATTTTCTCTGTCCTCCTCTCTTACTTCAGCTGCAGGCTTTCAGACAGCAAAGAGTTCATTGTGATTTCGGGAGAAGAGGAACTGGGGAAGATGTGGCAGCAGGTGACAGATGGGAGGCTGACACTCTGGTGCCAGGTTCGTGCCCCTTTGGGATGCTGTTCTTCCTCACTAGATTCTGATACAATTTCTGCTCTGCCGTGCGGTTTACACCATGGCCTTGTCCCATAGGGCACAGATGCCTGTTCAGACAGACCTGTTCTCTACAGGATGGTAGCACATCATGGTTACACAGCGCAAAGGCCTGAGGATCTGGAATTCAATGAAGGAGACACACTGGACATTCTCTCTGAAGGTAGCTTTCTAGTTCTACCTGAAGTTCTTCACTGGGCAGCTTCAGGAGTCTGTTTGCAGGGAGGGGATGGGGACAAGTTGGGGAACAAAAGACTTCCTGATAGTTAAGCCACTAGGCCTTATGGGGGACTGACATGTGCATGGGCCTGTACTGGCCCTTTGCGCAGGGATGAATGTCACCCTTAGCAAGGCTCCCTGGTTAGGCAATTCAAGGGATTGCTCGGTCCTTACCCTGTTCCTTTGTGTTTTCCCAGTGAATGAGGAATGGCTTGAAGGCCATTGCAATGGCAACTTTGGCATTTTCCCCAAGTGCTTTGCTGCTCAGGCCAGCATTGAGGCTGCCCTCCCTTAGAGAAGAGATGCTTCTTCCTGCCAGACTCCACAAGAAGCCAGCTGGGCTCTGGACCCCACCTCACCTTACTCATGTCTCCCACAGAACAGGAGAAGCTTGCGATAATTCATTCAGGTCTGACCATCGCCAGCCCTGCTAGGTATTTAAAGAAGCTGCCCACACAGGACGCTTCCCAGTGTGGGACCCCATTATCCAGAAACCCAGCAGGATTAGTTTCTGTAGCAGAAATAGCATTTTCTATGGCATGTGTCTGGCCTCAGTATAATAATAATAATAGAAGTGAGATGACAGGTCTGACTGGGGAGTGCGGGAGGTGGGATCTGGGAGCAAGGCATGGGGTGGTGTCTCATGAAGGACACTCTGAGAGGTGCTGACACAGCAAATGGAGATTTCCCATCTCAGACCCAGCCACCAGCTCTTTCTGTAGCAAGAACTTGGGGTTCAAAGGTGCAGATTAAGTGGCAAGAAGAACCAGCTCCTCCAAAAGAGGAGGCTGTGCTCTGATAGCGGCAAGGGGCCTGGCTCAGGCCTTAATCCCCACTTCCCACCAGGTGGAATAAAAGTGAGGGAAGCTGGACCTTGCCGTCACTGGATATGCCCATTCTGCCGTTAGAAACCCACGGCTGGCCCATGCCAGTTGACTTGGGCTAAGGGACTGTTTGAGTGCGGTGTAGGCATTTGGACTTGGGGCAATTAAATAGCTCCTTAGCCTGAGCCCCACGGGCCTGAGTCAGCTGGCACAGGCCTGCGGCAGGGGACTAATGGCAGTGCTGACAGACCCATTGAGGCCAGACTGTGGGAGGCAACGTGCCACCCAAAGAGCCAGAGCGCAGGGAGGCAGGCCTGATTCTCTGGGCCCCATGCAGTGTAGAAACAGCGCTGTTCTGGTTTGAGAGCATTTCACACCCACTTTGGACTGCTGTAAATGAGTGCACATGAATCAGGCATAGGGTGTGTGGCCCCTCCAAGACCCATTGATCTGCCAGAGGCAAAGGGCCCTGTGCCCAGACATCTTGGGTTGTGGGGATTGTCCCTGGTCAGCTGAACGCTGGTGGTGTCCCAGTCGGTTCCGTGAAGTTGGGCCACAGCAGGGAGCCAGACCTTGAGGGACTGAGAACTGGGTTGGAGGGAAGGAATGCAGGGCCTGGAGATAAAGAACAGGGTGGGGGAGATGGCCAGGTGACAGGAGCTGAGGCATTGTGGGGAGGGCAACCAGAGAAACAGGCCTAGCAAAGCCCAGAGGGATCAGGAAGTGGAGAGCCAGAAGGAGGAAGTGGTAAGTGGAGCTCATGGGAGTAGATAAAAATAACCTGTGGGGGAGAGGGGTGACCTAGGGTCTCTACTTTGCAAAAAGGGTCCCAGGAACTGCAGGGTGGTTCCTGGGCACCAGCCCCTGGGGCTCGCTCGGCCCATCAGCCACGCAGTGCATGAGCCTTTGGAAGTTCACTCAGCCCCACTGGCCTGAGGGAGCTCCCTTGGCCTTCCTTCCTGCCTGGACTCTCGCTCGGCCCAAGCCTCTGGGGAGTTGCTCAGCGCATCAATCCTTAATAGTCCTCCCCTGGCTCAGGGCCCTATGAGATCACACACCGTCTCTGCTGTGCTAGGCTTTCCAGCTGGCACAGGTTTCTGGAGGGTTGTGCAGCCCCTGTACACCAGGCGTCTTTGTCAGCACGGGTCTCTGTGCAGTGGCTCCGTCCCCTGACCCTGCAGCTCACGGACAGCGGCCTCTCAGCACTGCAGGGTGCTTACCTGGAACAGGAGGAGCAGGACACTCCTGCCCTCCACCCTGCAGGGCCTCTTCTTGGTCCAGGCCACTGTATGCTGCCTCAAACCCTTGCCCACCCCAGGGCCAGGCACAGCCTCTCTAAGGTCACTCACAGCCTGTACCTGGCATACCCTTTCTAGGGTCACTCAGCCCCTTGCACTGCCTGGCCCATGCCCTGCTGCCATAGCTATGGCTAGCCCAGGCACGTGAGCTGCAGCCTGGAAGAGGAAGCTGCCAGCAGGAGGGCTCCTTGTCTGGCTCTTGTTCCTCCCCTTAGACCAAAAGAGCCTGAATTCATTAACTTTTAGGGGGTGCTGTAAAAACCACGCCTCACAAGGGCTGAGGGGGTGGCTGGCTGGCTGGTTTGGGTGGGGCGACTCTCTCTGTTGCTGGGATTCCTTGGAGTTGGTTTAGTTGGGTAGGAGCCTGTGATGCTGTTGGAGGGAGTGTTTTTGTGAAGAGGTGTCTGTGTGCCTAGAGTGGAAGTTTTGGGGTGGGGTTTTACTTAAATCAAATCTATAATCCGTGCAGGGCCAGTGGAAGCAGCCTTTGCAGTGTTCAGCTCAAAATCCCCAAATCCCCAGCCCCGCCTCCTCCCCCAGACGTGCCGCATTTCCCCCCGCATTGCTTCCTGCGGCTCCCCCCCACAACTCCGCACCCTCGCTCACCTCCACTCCACCTGCTCCCCTGAACATGCCGCTGCTCCGCTTCTCCCCCCTCCCTCCCAGGCGAGGGGGAGGCAGCGCGTTCAGGGGAGCGGAAGTGAGCGGGGGGGGGAGAAGTGCAGGAAGTAACCGGGGGGAGTAGAGGAACCGCTCCCCACCCCAGCTCACCTCCGCTCCACCGCCGCTCCCTCCCCCAAGCACGCTGCCGCTCGGCTTCTCCCCCCTCCCAGGCAACAAACAGCTGTTTAGCGCGGCCAGCCTGGGAGGGACGGGGGAGAAGCGGAGCGGCGGCAGTGTGCTCAGGGGAGCAGGTGGAGGCGGAGCAGAGGTGAGCTGGGGCCGCGGGGGCACATTTCTAGGGCCAGCATGGCCAGCGCCGGAATGCCATCCCTAGAAATGGGCCGCCCCGAGCACCAGCTTGTTTTGCTGGTGCCTAGAGCTGGCCCTGGAGAAGGCTGCCGTCGTCTTGCCAGAGTGCGGCCACACACCTGCGGGCGTCATTCCAGGCACAAAAGGAGTAACAGGCTACGTGGCTTAAAGGTACAGGGCCCCATCCTGATCTGCACATGCCTTCCTCGTGCTCGGGATCTGTGCCTACATGCCTCCTTCTTCTGCATTAGCATCATCCAGCCTGACCTCCTGTTTAACACAGGCTGTCTCCTGGACTCCAGCGTTGTACCCATGGCTTCTAAGTGAGCTAGAGCATGTCTAGAAAGACAGCCAATCTCAACTGAAAGATGTCACGCGATGGGAAACTCCCCCATATCTTTAGGCAGTGATTAATTATTCTCCCTATTTTAAAAAAATGCCTTATTTCTAGTCCCAATTGGTCTAGTTCAGTTTCCAGGCACTGGCTCTCAGTCATCCTTTGTCTGCTCGGTTAAAGAGACTTCTGTGAACAGAGCTCTTCCCTTGGGAGATACTTCTAAACACTGATCAGCTCCCCCCTCAGCCTTCTTTGGAGGGAGGCATTCACTGAGAGGAACCAGGCAGACATCCTGAAGAGATGGCGAGTGCCTTGAAGGCCTCCCCACACTCGCCATCACTTGTGCCACTTCCCCTTTCCTGGGCTGGTGGGAGGGGCTCTCCGTCCATGACTCGAGCTGCTAAGTGGGATTCCAGAGGCACTGGATGAGAATGGCCAGCAGTGCCGCTGCAGCAGTCAGGACGATGAGGAAGATGGTGGCAGCCCAGAGCCCGCGCTGCTGCCCTTTCACTTGCTCGGGGGCCTCCGCTGGGATCATGTTGGTGAGGTTCAGCACGTAGCCCAAGGTCCAGCCAAAGTCCGTGTTCGCAGCCTGCCCGGGGAAAGAGCAAGCGAGCACTTTACTGTGCTGGCAACATACTTGGAGCCCAGAGCCCCTGCTGCTTCCAGAGCTTGTGGGGGAGAAATTCTTGTGCCTGTCTCTGCAGGTTCTGGTCCCTGAGACTAATACAGTCCGGCCTGGTTAGCTGGAGCTTGGCTTCTCTGAAGCCACGTGCATCAAAGATGTATCCCTATGCAGGAGTGTCATTACCATGGCTGTGCCCAAGGTCACTGTGCTATGCAAACGCAGCCAGCAGGAGCCAGTACACCAGGAGTCTGGCATCCTCTTCTGACCCCCCAGCCCCTACGGGGGCAGTAGAAGTGGTGCTCCCCTCAGAGGACTGATTCAGCCCTACACAGATATTCATTGCTAGTGTCCCCAGTGCAGCTCTCCCAGCGTCCCTCCTGCTGCCCCATTCTTGGATTCTGTACCCTGAACTGGCCATTGAAGGCCAGCCCTCATTAGCATTGGGGGCCCAGGGCCTTTGGGGTCACAAGCAGGGACTCTCCTTTGGGACTGGAACCATTGCAATGATTCAGAAGCAGACCTTGCCCCTGCAGTGACCCCTCTGATGGATGATTTAGTTTTATTTTCCCCTTACAAATCTGCCATCATTCTGCACACTTCCATCCCCCCCACAATGTTCCTGTGACCTCTGACGACCTCAGCCAGCTGTGGCAGAAGCCTGCTGTTACACCTATCTGACTCCAGTGAAATCAATGAGGTTCATTTGGATTTATGCCAGTGTAAAGGAAAACAGAATTTGGCCCTGTGGTCTCTAGGGAACGTGTGGTGAAGCCATGTGGCCACTAGTGCAGAACTTTCCATGACAGCACACCATAGCCTGCTGCTACCACCAAAGATCTGCTCTTCCTCTCGCAGCCAGGAGGAAGGATGTAGCCGGAATCAAGCCACTTCAGGGCCCAATCCTGCTAAGTGCGGCCGCTTTTGGTGTGATGCTGAGTGCCCTTGATTCCCAGGCGAACCAGTTGGAGTTGAGGGCACTCTGAACTCAGCAGGTCAGATTCTTAGTTACCAGGTGCAGGTGAATAGCCATTTGCATTAGTGGGCATAATTCTCACACTGTGTAGTGATAACTGGGGCCAAGGTTGGAGACAGTGACCCTGGGAGGAATGGCAGTTGCTGCCAGGTAGCTGCAGAAGCCGGACCGACAATGGCTCTTTACCTGTTGGCGGAAATGGATGTTGCTCCACATTTGCTCGTCAAATTTGTAACCCTCGTGTAGCAGTGTCAGGATGTAAAAGGCCGAGGGGCAGTAATTGTGTAGGCGGCTGTGACTCTCCTCCTGTGGGAAGCTGGCCTGGAGCTGAGAGAGCAATTGGGACAGACAACGCAGATAGCAGTTAGCAAGGGCCCTGCAAAAAGCCCACCTTCCCCAGTGGTGGAACAAAAGGGAACAAGCAGGATATAGTTCTGTGAAACAGCCGAAGTGTCTGTCTCCATTGCCTAGCCAGCAGCCCATATGGCCCCCAGTTACTGGTGCAGAAACCACAGCTGGGGCAGGAAGCCCAGACCCAAGAGCCTTTTTAGTAGTGTGCTGGGACTTGGCCAGTACTTTGACACTGAAGCTGAGATCCAAAGGGCCTGGCACTTTTTGCAGTTCAGATCTGAGAGCCCTGCATGGCTCCTTCCCATCCCACTTCCTAACCGCTCACTCCCTGTACACTGCTAGGACAAACCTTTCTGCCAGGATGTGCGGAGTGTGACTCCCACTTGCTAATGGGCCTTCAGAGCTCCTCTGCTTTGACGGTTTGTCATGCAACTCGGCGGCTTCACAGGATAATAGACAAACATGGGCTGAGATCTCGGCTGCTACCAACAAGAATCTCACCTCCTTCCAGCCTTTAGTGCAGAAGCCCCAGATGGTGGCATTGATGACACTCAGGGGCTGCCCGTTAGTCAGGTTCAGAAAGTAGAAGGTGTAGTAAAATCCAGAAAAGGCCTGTGCAAGAAGAGGAGACATTAAACCTGTGTCCTTCCAGAAGACGCTGCAGAGGAGCATAACAACAATAATTAACTTTCCCTTCTGGAGAACTCTTCATCCAAGAGGAACCCCAAAGTGCTTCACAGCAGTAATGAATTTCTCCTCACTCCCCGTCAAAGGCAGGCCAGCATTATTAGCACCATTTCACAAATGAGGAAATTGAAGCACAGAGAGGTGAAGTGACTTGGCCTAGGTGACAATGATAGTCAACAGTGGAACCAAGAGTAGATCTCAGGACTGGGCACCAGAGACCTGAACCAATGCCTGCAGTAGTCAGTGGAAAGTCTCCCAGCAATGTCACTGTGGTCTCGATTGCATACTGATGCCAATCTATAGTACCACATTTTAAGATTCATACAAATTCTATGTTTGTAGGTGCAAAGCAAAGTTAATGCTTTTGCAGTCTGGGCATGGTTAAGGTGAAGGGCTACATCACAGCTGAATTATTTTTGCATTTGTGAATGTAGTCTGAGATCGACAGCACAAGAGACTGAAATTCTTTTGTAGCCATAGATTGGGTACAGCATGGGCAATCAACATGCAAACTTTTCTCCTGCTACCCATGCCAGTGTGCCCAAGCTGCATCTTGAGCTAAACTATACCATCAAATTGCCTGTTTTCTGTGTTTTTTTTTAATACATTTAAATTCTCACAATTTGATTTACAGCCAGAGCTGGCCTAAAAACACGGGCTGATGTGTGGATTTCAGGGAAGATTGCAAGATTTTGTTTCAGTTAAGTTAATGGATTTTGTTTCAATTAAGTTAATAGATTTTAATATCTATTCCCTAACCAGGACTAAGCACAAAGTGGTAATAATCCTCTTTGCTTAGCATGGAATTTCCTTTGCTTTTGCTTCTGCTGTTGTTTACTTGGAAAAAGAAAACTAAGAGAATTGTGTCTGATCACTCACGGAAACGAAAGATGCTCCCATACCATACTCAAGAGTGCTATTGAGATGCATTGACAAGAATGAACCCAATAACAATTAAATGTGTATTCAAATCCATGTGCAGAGCGCCTCTGATGCTCTTATGATCACACATGGAGATACGATTCAACATGGTTAGCTTCAAACATGCATGTGCAGACACACCTTGGCTCTAGCACAAAACTGGGGGAGCTGCAGGTGTTGTATACTAAGGGCTGCTTTGAAAGTGCCCCTCATTCCTCAGCTGTGGTTGGCAGTGCATAGGCACAACTCCCTTGGGCCCCTCAGTGGCATGAGTGTTTCCCAGGGCAGACAGATCACAGAAGTGACCCCCGGGAGAATTCAGCTGGAAGGTAGAAGGCAGCGTTATTATATTAAGAGCCATGAATGGCATGTAGAGCTGAGATGGGGTGAGTTTGTTTCACTCTGCTCATGACCCATCCTCCCCTCTGGGGAAGAACAGCCCCTGGACATAGGCGCATCAGATTTTCAGACATCTCCTCCCTAGCTTCGTGGTTCCTAATGGGGATCTCAGCATTTGTCCCAGGTCAAGTTTAGCTGCGGGTTACACGCACACAGTGATACAGCCTCCCTCCAGTTTAGCTGATGCCTCATCTATCTCCTCAGTCCTTTAGAGCGTTACTCCCACCAGTGTGGTAGCCAGCTACAATAGAAGGGAAGGTTTCCTTACGAAGAACTGCCCATGCCCCGGTGGCTGATAGATCCCGTTGAACCCGCACGTCCTGTTGGCCCCACACGCTGTGAAGTTGAAGAGTTTCTGGATGGCACTCCTGCACTCCGCTGGGGCCCCTGTCCCCCGCACCGTGAGGATCTGGCTGGGGTCATGTGCAACTGGTGCCGGGACGCAGGGACTGTCATACAGGGCAGCGGCAGTGACGTTCTCCTCGTATCCCTTGGGGTAGCACGGGTGGGAGATCTGCTGAGAGGTGAGGTTCTCCTAGAGAGAGGGGAACCCATTAGCAGCGCTCAGGCTTGGGATAGCAGCCAAACCCCTCCCCTCCCCACCTCTCCCCCATCCCCTCCAGTTTGGAGCTTCTGGGAGAGTGGCAGCTAAACCCTTATAGGAAAGTCCTATAGGATTTAGAAGAAAACGAGAACTGTCCTATGGGTTTTCTTATCCATCCCATTGTATTTGAGACTGCAAACCCTATCCTAGTATAGAAAGCTATAGGGTGGGTCACAAAGCCCATGCATACCCCACTCTGGGGCTGTCTGGGTATCTGACCATCTCCCCCGCTAGTCTCAGGCCAGGCACACAGATGATGGCGAGGAAGTCACTGCCCCTTCGACACATCACCCTTCTCTGCTTTTGTCACATGCTCCTCCCGGAGCTCTGCAGCCCCAACCCACCCAGCTCCATCTCCACTTCCCAACCCTCCTCCTGGTTTGTCCATCCCCAGCACATCCAAGGTCATGCCTTTTTGGGAGCCAGCTTCACTGCTGTCTGTGAGACGTCAGGACCCAGATCCCAGGATCTTGACCCTGCACGTCTTCGCACAGAACACAAGAGGGGGGCTCAGGGCTATCCTTCAGTACAAACAGGGGTATGAGTGAACTCAAGCCAGCTACCCCTGGCTGTCACCTGTGCACTGACCCATGTTGAGTTACCCCCTTGCACACCAGCTCCCTTATGCAGGTTAAGTAGAGCAGACCGAAGCACCAGCCTTATCCTGAGGCCCTGCCTGGCAGACCTCCCCCTTAGGCCTCACTCTTCCCAGCACCAGGGCTGGGCTTTCCTGCTTGCCACTTCTTCTGTGGATGTCTCTGCACAGCCCTCCTCACGTGCCCTGCGCAGGACACAGCCCTGGGTGTCAGGGCCTGGGGGGAGCACGGGATAGTCTCTCTGACACCAGAGCACTGCCCGGGTTGGGGTGTGTCAAAGGAAGAAGTAATGTAACATCCATGGCTTCTCGCTGCTGCCTCCTGAAACGTGTGGGTGGGGCCAAGCTGTCAGGGGAAGGACTTCAGGAGTAGAAAGGTGACACATGGTGGGCTGCCATCCTCCAGAGTACGGGTGGAAAATCCAACACCACATTGCTGCAACCTATGCAGCTCCCCCATTGCTGGCTGCACGGTGCAGCTCCTGTGGCATGCGAGGGGTTAATACAAATCCCAGGCAGAGAGAGAACTGTTGTGTAGCTGACTGGGCTATAGGATCTGCTCCTATTGATCTCCCTTTCCCACCAGGCCACTGGGTGCTGCTGTCGATTGTTCGCACAGTGTCAAGTCCAAGGACTAGCCAGCAAGAGGGGTGGGGGGAAAGACGGAGTCATAAATCACGTAACTATGAGTCACACCCTCGTCTGGGATTTCTGGGAGTTTCCAGGGCATAGGAGAAAGAAGGGAAACCATCTCTTGCTTCGACAGGGAAACCCTGCCTCACTGGGGCTTCTCTCTAGTACTTGCTCAGTTTCACAGATAAAGTCTTTGTTTTGCCTGCTCTGTGCTCTAAAGAAAAGCAAAAAGAAAAGGAGTACTTGTGGCACCTTAGAGACTAACCAATTTATTTGAGCATGAGCTTTCGTGAGCCACAGCTCACTTCATCAGATGTGTACCGTTGGCAAAGAGTCCCTGTCCACCCAACTTGACAATCTTCTGATGCTCTCGGAGATTTTCACGCTCTTCTCTGGCAAGTCAGAGCCATTTATAGTTTGTTACCCGTTTGTTGATGTACACAGGGTCTGCATGAGCTCTAGCGTGACATCCAGGGAGATCTGGCAAGGACGACTTCATGAACCAACCTTATGTGTACAGACACACCCACGCTACCGAGGCACACAGCAGGCTGGTGCTGCTTTGCCCCAGTGATCGCTTTGGGCTGGTGTTGGATCACCAGGCACTTTGCTGTTGGAGGCAGGGGTAATAAAGGGTTGTTCATAGGCTCAGCCTAGCCAAACTGCCTGCATGGCCCCACCCACACTCCACCCCTAGGGCCCTCCTGTTGCCCGCCGTGCTCTGCGGCAGGTCTTGGCTGGGGCCCGGGCCAGTGGCACTGGAACCAGGGGGGTTAGGGGGCCATAGCCCTCCCACTACCGCCTGGCCCGTCTACTTTTCGCTGGGGCGGACCTCGCCCCCTTCCCTTCCTTTTCCCCCTGTGGCCCCACCCCCCAGCCAGGCCAGTGTGGAGCCTGGTCAGGGAGCCTGGGCAGCTGTGGGGAGCCGTGGCAGACCCTCCACCTGCCTGCGGTGCAGGGGGGACAACCCCCAGCCCATGGCCCCGGCTGCTTGGGGAAGGTCCACGATTCCACGCTGGCTCCCCACAGCTACCCACGTGACTGTCCCCGACCTGGCTCTGGGGTGGGAGAGCTGGGGGCTCGGAGCTGCAGCCCAGCCATTGTAAGAGCCGCGCGGGCAGGTGTGAGGAGCTGCAGAGTCGTGGACTCTTCTCCTACCCCGGGTGGGCGGGGACATGGGCTGGGGACTGCTCCAGCCCCCCACACCACAGGCAGGGAGAGGGTCTGCTGTGGCCCCCTCGCCTTCCTCCGTCCAGAGCTGTGCAGGCAGCTGTGGAGAGCCTGGGTCCCTCCACCTGCCCTGGGTGTGGAGCCTGGGACAAAGGTAGGAGGCTGCCTGCCTCCACCTCGGGCATGGGCCTTTGCGCCTCCCCCCCACTTTTGGGAGGGCTCCGGTGCCCTTGCCTTGGGCTGGGGCTAGTGCGGGCTGGGCTGCAGCCAGGGCCTCCAGGTGGCTAGAGCCAGTGCTTGCACTGCCCGCCCACCCAGGGACGAGGGTCGTGCTGCCTGCCCTCCTGGCGCTCCGGGAGGGGTGGGGGTGCTGCCCACCTGCTGCGCTGGGGGCCGCAATCAGCTGCCTGACCACCTGCCTGCTGCTCTGGGGCTTGGGCTGGGGGCTGTGCTGCCTGCCTGCCTGCCCGCCAGGTGCTCCGGGGCTGGGCAGGGAGGGCTCTGGGCTCCAGCAGCGGAAGTGGGGTGGGATGGGTAGGGCCCCAGGCAGAGGGAGCAGGCTGGCCAGGGACTAGCCTCCCCAAGCCCATGGTTCACCTGCCACCCATGGGGTTGTTATCCTGGGGTGCCAAAACCCAGGGGAGTTGAGTGAGGGTGGGGACAAGTATCTGGTGGTGTGGGTGCTTCCTAAGGGTCTCAGACACCATTTGGTGACAGGTTTCAGAGTGGTAGCCATATTAGTCTGTATCCCCTAACGCCCCAACTTTACTTACACTACATTGATGACATCTTCAAGTAGAATAGGAGCGTTAGGGGACGAGAGCTGAGCATCTTCATCATCTGGACCCATGGGAAAGAGGCCCTCGAGGAATTCCCCCAGGATTTCAACAATTTCCATCCCACCATAAACCTCAGCCTGGACCAGTCTACACAAGAGATCCACTTCCTGGACACTACAGTGCAAATAAGCGATGGCCACATAACCACCACCTATACCGGAAACCTACTGACCGCTATACTTACCTACATGCCTCCAACTTTCATCCAGACCACATCACACGATCCATCGTCTACAGCCAAGCTCTAAGATACAACCACATTTGCTCAGACAGAGACAAACACCTACAAGATCTCTATCAAGCATTCTTACAACTACAATACCCACCTGGGGAAGTGAAGAAACAGATTGACAGAGACAGAAGGGTACCCAGAAGTCACCTACTCCAGGACAGGCCCAACAAAGAAAGTAACAGAACGCCACTAGTCATCACCTTCAGCCCCCAACTAAAACCTCTCCAGTGCATCATCAAGGATCTACAACCTATCCTGAAGGACGATCCCTTACTCTCATAGATCTTGGGAGACAGGCCAGTCCTCACTTACAGACAGCCCCCCAACCTGAAGCAAATACTCACCAGCAACCACACACCACACAACAGAACCACTAACCCAGGAACCTATCCTTGCAACAAAGCCCATTGCCAACTCTGTCCACATATCTATTCAGGGGACACCATCATAGGGCCTAATCACATCAGCCACACCATCAGAGGCTCGTTCACCTGCACATCTTCCAATGTGACATATGCCGTCATGTGCCAGCAATGCCCCTCTGCCATGTACATGTACATGTACATCCAACAAAAAAACTTC